AAAAAAAAAAAAAAATTCTTGGCCTCAAGCAGTCCTCCTGTCTCAGCCTTCCAAGTAGCTGGGACTATAGGTGCCTGGCACAATACCTGGCTATTTATAGAGACAGGGTCTCAATTTTGCTCAGGCTGGTATTGAACTCTTGAGCTCAGGCAATCCACTGGCCTCAGCCTCCCAGAGTGCTAGGATTACAGGTGTGAGCCACCAACCTATATACATTTTAAAAAGAAGTGCAATGTGGCTTCTTTCAAGCTAGTCAGAAAGGAGAAGGATGAGTGAAAAGTGACAATTTCACCCACCCCTCCCCTTGCTCACCTCCACCACTGCTGCCCAACCCAAGGCCACAGTACCACAAACAAGGAATTGGTCACTGCCTTTATTCAAGGGAGCAGCTCCAGCCTTTCCTTACATGTGCTGCCTTATTTAAAGGGCAACTGGGGTGATTCCAAGCACATGGGTGTTATTCATTTTGCCCGAGTCCTTAGGAAACCCAGACAGGTGGCATTGCGCAGCAATCTGAGAGTCTTTCCAGCACCCAGAAGTTTAGCTCTAAGCTACTGGATTTCAGCTCTGGAGCCCTAAGCCTGGCTCCTGAGAATTCCCTCTGTTGCTTCAAGCCTAATGTAATGATTTTTTTCATGACCCTGCGGGGTTGGCACCATCCTCGCCACTAAAATGAGGCAGCTGCCCACAATTACCTGCAGTAAGTGCCCACCAGGGATTTAAACCAGGCATCCTTAAACTACAGCCCACAGGCCACATGCAGCCCACCTAGGACATTTATCAGGCCCGCCGGGTGTTTTTGCCACTGCTGCCTGTCCTGCTGAGCAGCCGACTCGTCCTGGGGCCGTAGTCCCGCCCTCCAAAGGGCCGAGGGACAGTGAACTGGCCCCCTGTTTAAAAAGTTTGAGGACCCCTAAAACCCAGATTTCTCTACTACTACACCTGAAGCTCTGCCTCCTCCCACCCTGGCTTGGTCTTCCAGCCTCAGCTTCTGGTCTCCAAAATGAGAAGGCTTGGACTTTAGCAAACAGACTCCAGAATCCCTCATCTCTGTGCTCAATGACAAGTTATAGAAACTCCGTCTCAGTCACTGGCCAAGAGAAAATATTCTATAATTAGATGTCGTTATTAAAGACTGCCCTTTATTCAGAGAATTATGTCTTTTCTGTTTGTTTGGTTCTAAAATTGCTGATCTTTTGTGAAATAAACATTGACAGAGGTCGATACATATTGTTCTGTTTTGTTTCTGTGCACTTGCTTGACACAAATTAAAAGTTGGCAGCACTGGGTCTGTTTCCCCAATCTTTCCCTTTTTTTTCCTGGGAAATCTGTGGGCCACACTGTGCCTTTATCTTGAGGCAACTCTCTAATGCTTCTGAGATGATCTGAGAGTCTAATCAAGGAGCATCTTGAGAAAAGCCACATTTGAAAAAGCCAGATTATTGATGTGAGACAGTCAGGGGTACAGTATCTCTTTATCATAACCCCTCCTGCCATATAGTGTGGCCCTGGATGCCCCCCATTACGTGGGATGCCCCCTCATCTGTTGCCTTCACCCCTTTCTCATTCTTCTCTTACAACTTTACAAAGAAACAGCTGGGCCTTACTTATCCATTTTACTGAGCTGGGTTTTTGTCTGTTGGTTGGTGGATTTGGGATGTTTCCCAGGTTACTAATTTGCTAATTCCTTATTATTTCTGTTTACTTTCTCTCTCAATTAGATGGTGATTTACTTCAAGCAGCTTCAAGGACAAGGTGCTAGCTAGTGGATGAGATCATGGAAGAAAGAAAAAGGAAAGTTGGAGAGTGAAGTTTCCCCAGAACAAGGCTGCCACAGGCTCTGCCCCCAGGGCATCTCTGATCTCCATCCACCAAATCCTAAATGTTTCCCAGCTGTGTGGGAAACACAGTATTGGTCCAAAATCAGACATAGCGCAACTGAAAGAGGAAGCATGGTGGGGAGAGGGGGAATTCATCCTGACAATCCCAGGATCCCCAGTGGCAAAATCTGGAGATTTTACTGGAGAGCAGGAGGAATCCCAATTCTGGACAGATAAAGGAGTCAAATCTCTAAACAATGTGAGAGCCTCTCACAGATCAAAGAGATTGGGGGCCAGGACATTGCAGATGTTGTTCTTTCACCTTACCCCTCAGTCCTCAAAAGGCTGTCTCTGAGGGCCTCGGTTTGCCTACCTGTAAAATGGGGGCTCCCAATATAGTTTTGCCTGCATTGTAGCCCCAAGTATAGGCAAACTCAGAGGAAAAGGGGCATCTTGTCCTGAGAGGAAGGAATGAGAGACTGGACAGAAAACATGCCCAAATAGTGAGAGGAGAGCGATAAGTATAAAGAGGCCTAGATTCCTCTCCCAGGCCTCAGTTTCCCCAACTATAGAATAAAGGTAAAGGACACGTGCTCCTTTCTCTTCCACTCATTCCTTCCTTCAGCGAATAAACAGCAGTGCTTTCTGTGTGTCCCACTGAATTTCCATGACCCTTTCATCCCCACCTGAAGGTGAAGAAATAGGCTCAGAGAAGTTAAGGGATTTGTCCACGATCACATAGCAGTGAGGCTAAGCCTAAGCCACACAGTGAAGGAAGCTCTCTCTCCACTTCCATGTTTACTATAACCAAGAGCAACACAGACCAGTGGGGGGCTCCTCAGGGCAAATCAAAGCCCCCTCCCCATGTGGGGGCTCACCCTGTGCCTCCTCCCCTGGCTAGCATCCAGACAGTGATTTGCCATATTCTCCCTGCTCTGCTCACTGGGGCCAAAACATTGTGTGAGTCAGCAGAGAATGGGTCACCAGATGCCAGAGTCTCAGCAGCCTCTGTGGCCAGCCACAAAGCTTCAGTTCCTTCCATAGATGCCAGCCTAATTTGTGGTCTCTGCTCCCTGAGAGCCATACCCAGCTCCTGTGTCTCAGGCAAATCTCTCCCCCAAATCTCCCAACTGTCTGATACACATTTTCCACGAGAATGGAGTGCTCTCAGCCTCCCACTTCTCCCCAACACCTGCACAAGTCAATGCATGCCAGCAAATGGATGGGAGTAGCAGTGGTGGCCATGCCTACTGGAGTGGCCACTGGAGTATGCCCAGGAAGGGGGGGCATGAAGGGTTCCCTAAAATCTCCCCAACACAGCCAGGATCCAGGACCCAGGCCCTGCTACTTCTGATTTCCCTTCTGCTGCTGTTTGTCTCTCCCACTGAGTACAAACCTCCACCTTGCCCAGCTGTGTCCCTCAGGCCACACATCAGGATAATGGTGCATTTGAACAGGCACAAGCCCTTGCATGGGCCTGAGAAGGGCATCACATCACCTTCCAACTACAGCACACCCTCAAAATCTGGACCACAGATGGGGAAGTGGGAGCCCAGACAGGCGGAGGAGTTGGGTGAGACTCACACATCAGAATGACAGCCTGGGTCCCAGCAATAAGGATAGTGATCATGACTGCCAAGCACAGAGCCCTAGCCCTTCTCCCTGCACCCGGATGGAGAAGGGAAGGAAAAAGCAGAACCCTAGGAAGGGTACTGTGTGGGACTCTGTGAACTTAGAGACCCTCTGCTTTCAGACTGGCCTGGATCCAAGTTCAGTATGGCTGACAGAGGAGAGAGGCAAGGGGCTGGCACACATCAGCAAGCCACAGCCAAAGAAGTGAGAGTTAGTCTTCTGGGGAGTGAGGGCCACCTTTCAGGCCTGGGGGCAGGGAGCTGGCCTCCATAGTCGGGGGAGTTGAGGTTTGGGGAAGGGAGCTTGTGCCCCTGCGGACAGAAGTTACTGTATTATCCACCAGCCAAGGACCTGACCCAGATGCAAGCACTGTGGCCTCAGTGGTGGGCAACTGATCTCTCAGAGACAGAAATACTATCACCACTGGCCAAAGACAAGGCACTGGCTCCCCACGAGGAAAGGGATGCTGCATTGGCCACCTCCTAGTCAGGGTCCAGAAGGCAGTGCTGCAGCCTCGGCAGCAAGTAACCCCCACGGAGACAGGAGCTCTGTCACCTGGCAAGACGCCTGCCGCACACACACACTCTCACCCGGCTGGCCCCGCGCGGAGTCACTAACCCTTACCCGGTCTCATGGATGGCGTTGGAGAGGTTGGCCCAGGCCACGGCGTCGGGGTGGCGGCCGTCCACCAGGCGCAGCTGGCCGGTGGTGGCGTCTAGGAGCACCGAGGAGCTGCGGGAAGCGGGTGTGATCAGCCCATCGCGCGCCCGGCCACTCCCCGGCGGTGGGATAGCGCCCGCCAGACAGCTCAGAAACAGCCCGATCAGCAGGGCCAGCACCAGGGCCAGCGCCAGCGCCCGCGTCAGTGCCCGGGCCAGGCGGCCGCCTGGGGAGCCATACATTGGGGCCACCATGACCGCGCTGAGCTGCGCGCCGCAGGTTGGATCACGTGACTGCACCCAGCCGCGGGTGGGGCGGAGCGAGGACAGGTAGGGCGGGGCTTGTGCCGACGCTTTCCGGAGTGGGCGGGGCCCACGTTAAAGGGCCCTGGTGCTCCCTTCCACCTATGCATACTATCCCCGCACACACACTTTGCAAATTTTCAAACCACGAGAAATATCCCGAGAATAGTAGAATAAATGCCCACATACTCCCGTCAGTTGCTAATATTTTTTCACATTTACATAATCTCTATCTGTTCATATAATTTTGCTGAACTATTTGAGAGTTTATTGAAAACATTGTGACCTGTCCAGCCTAAACACTGCACGGTGCATTTCCTAACAGTCAAGGCATTATCCTGCATAATGACAACACCATAATAACACTCAGAAAATGCATCTAGTATTGTATTTTACCATTTATTTAATAGCGTTATCTAATGCAGAGTTTTTATTCCAAGTTTTTCCTGTTGATCCCAAGGGCTCTTTTTTCTTTTATAATCCATATCTCACACCATGCACAAGCATAAACTTGTAACTGATCAGAATCTCAAGGTAGAGCACGAAACTTTGCAGTACTGACAGAAAACATGAGGGCGGGGCGCGGTGGCTCACGCTTGTAATCCTAGCACTCTGGGAGGCCAAAGTGGGTGGATTGCCTGAGCACACAGGTTCAAGATCAGCCTGAGCAAGAATGAGAACCTCCCCCAGGCCCCCCCCCCAAGCCCCGCCACCTCTAAAAGTAGCCAGGCATTGTGGGGGGCGCCTGTAACCCCAGCTACTGGAGAAGCTCAGGCAAGAAAATTACTGGAGCCCAAGAGTTTGAGGTTACTATGAGCTATGACTCCACAGCACTCTACCAAGGGCAACAAAGTAAAACTCTGTCTCAAAATAAATAAATGAATGAATGAATAAATAAATAACATGAGTTAATGGCTCCATAACTTGTGTCCAGTAAGAGGCTGTGTGGTAAAATGCTATCTACAACCCCAAACCCAGGTGTAACCAAAGATTAATTAATGCATTTGATTACATAATTAAGATTAAACTAGGGCAGCACCTGTGGCTCAAAGGAGTAGGGCGCCAGCCCCGTATACCGGAGGTGGTGGGTTCAAACACGCCCCTGGCCAAAAACTGCAAAAAAAAATAAAAAAAGGTTAAACTACAGGGAAGAATAGGTGACCAGGGAGGCAGAGACTGAAGTGATACAGCCATAAACCAAGGACTGCAGGCAGACTAGCACCTGGAAGGGCAAGGAGCAGATTTTCCTTTGGAGCTTCCAAAAGGAACTTGCCCTGGAAATACCTTGTAATATTCATTCTGGACTTCTGGCCTCCAGAACTGTAAGAAAACACATCTCTATTGTTTTAAACTTCCAAGTTTGTGCTAATTTTTTACAGTACCAATAAGAAACCATTATACTCTCTCTATTATGAACTCTGTTTTGCTCACTTTGTAATGCACAGAACAGTACCTGGCTGTCAACATTTGTTAAAGGCACGGGTTCTATGAACCTGCTGTCCCCAGCCTCCTTGGCTGCATACTGGTATCAGTCAGTGGCCTGTTAGGAACCAGGCTACAGAGCAGGAGAGTGAAGCTTCATCTGTATTTACAGCTGCTTTCCAGCACTCCCCTAAGCGTGCCTCTGTCAGATCAACAGCAGCATTAGATCTCATAGGAGTGAGAACTCTGACATAAACTATTCACTTGAGGGATTCAGGTTGTGTGCTCCTTATGAGAATCTAATGTCTGATGATCTGAGCTGGGGGCTGAGGCGACTGCAAATGTAATGAAAGTAATGTGCTTGTATCATCGCAAGACCATCCCCCACCCCATCTGATGGAAAAACTTTCTTCGCTTAAACTAGTCCCGGGTGCCAAAAAGTTTGGGGACCACTGTTATTGTTCTGAAACTAGGTAGCAAAATGCCTTGCCCAGAGTAGGTGCTATTAATTAATTATCCAGAGAAGATACCCAGGGATCTGAACGTACAGGCTATTTGGGGGGCTCAGTCTGGTTTTTCTCTGCTCTTGGCGCCCCTTTCTGTCTGGAGGGAGGCCAGGGGATGGCAGAAAGTTTGCTGTTGGATCACACTCTATAGAGAGTTTTCTCTGACCATTACCAATTTTCCGATTTTCCTAATACTATCTGGACATCCAACAATCCAATTCTGGGCACTGCCTACCTAAAGTCAGCCTTTGATCCCACAAGTTAAAGAACTAGGTCCTGCAGACTGCTCCCACCTCAGATGCTAGCTGCAAGTCTCGGGCCACCTGTACTTCCAACCAAATTGGCGGTAAATTTAATGAGTTGCCATAGTCTCTCTGCAGATTCGATAATTTTCTTGAATGGCTCACGGAACTCAGGAAGGCACTGTATTTATGTTCACCCACTTGTTATGAAGGATTCAATTCAGGTATAGCCAAATGAAGGAGACACACGAAGCCTGGCACTTGGGGGTGTGTGAAGCACCCAGGTCCTCTGTAGGTGCATCTCACCTGCCAGTACCTGGATGTGTTCACCAACCCAGGAGCTCTCTGAACCTTGTTGGTAAAGAATTTTTAGAGTTCACTCTCCAGCTTCTCCATCCCACCAGAGATTGTGGGAGGGGCTGAAAATGCCAAAGTTCTCATTATTGGTCTTTCTAGTGAACAGCCCTATCTTGGGGGCTATCTAGGAGCCTCAACCCAAGTCTCCTCATTAGCATAAACTCAGGTGTGCTCCAAAAGGTCATCATATAAATAATAAAACAGGCTCGGCGCCTGTGGCTCAAGCGGCTAAGGCGCCAGCCACATACACCTAAGGTGGCGGGTTTGAATCCCCAGCCCGGCCCGCCAAACAACAATGATGGCTGCCACCAAAAAATGGCCAGGCGCTGTGGCAGGCGCCTGTGGTCCCAGCTACTTGGGAGGCTGAGGCAGGAGACTTGCTTGAGCCCAGGAGTTGGAGGTTGCTGTGAGCGTGATGCCACAGCACTCTACCCAGGGGGATAGCTTGAGGCTCCGTCTATAAAAAAAAAAGATTTAAATAATAAAACAAGTCAGGAGTTCGAGACCAGCCTGAGCAAGAGCGAGATGCCATCTCTAGAAAAAAAAAAAATAATAGCTGGACGTGTGGCAGATGCCTATAGTCCCAGCTACTTGGGAGATTGAGGCAAGAGAATCGCTTGAGCCCAAGACTTTGAGGTTGTTGTGAGCTATGACACCATGGCACTCTACCAAGGGTGAGAAAGTGAGACTCTGTCTCAAAAAACAAAAAAATAGTCACTCCTGCCTGGGAGCTGAGTGGGTGGCTCACACCTGTAATCCTAGCACTCTAGGAGGCCAAGATGGGAAGATCACTTGAGCTCAGGAGTTCAAGACCAGCCTGAGCAAGAGTGAGACCCTGTCTTCTCTAAAAATAGAAAAAATTAGCAGGGTGTTGTGGTGGGGGCCTATAGTCCCAGCTATTCAGAAGGCTGAGGCAGGAAAATGACTTGGACCCTAGAGTTTGAAGTTGCTGTGAGCTAGGCTGAGGCCAGGGCACCTTAGGCTGGGGCAACAGTGAGACTGTGTCTCAAAAAAAAAGAAAAAGTACTTCTATCTTTCAAGGGTTTTAGAAGCTCTGTGTGAGGAACTGGAGACCAAGACCAAATATTCAGTATTTCTATCACAGTTCCCAGCCCCATGGCCCGCTCTAAGGGGGTCACCCTACAAACACCTGCACCTAATCTTCTTTCAACCAGTAGAGGGAACTGTGCTTACTGTCCTCCTGGAAAAGGAAAATACTCTGCCCTCTTCTAGAGTGTGAGGAGCAGGTGGCAGAGAGCCTAGGAGGGCTGGGAACCTTCTGGAAACCTGTCAAACTCAATCATGATGGCGTAATAACAATAATAAGAGCTGGTATTAACTGTGCACCTACTGTGAGCTAGCCCCTGTAGACTGAGGGAAAGGGCAGTGAATGAGATGGACAAAAATTCCACCTTCTGTGTAAAAAGAAAGCAACAAATTGAAAAAAATAATAAAAGCTGTTTGGCTCCTGTAGCTCAATGGTTAGGGCACTGGCCATATACACCAAGGCTGGCAGGTTTGAACCCGGACCAGGCCTGCTAAAGAACAATGACAAATGCAACCAAAAAATAGCCAGGCGTTATGGCGGGTGCCTGTAGTCTCAGCTAGTTGGGAGGCTGAGGCAAGAGAATACCTTAAGCCCAAGAGTTGCAGGTTGCTGTGAGCTGTGACGCTACTGCACTTTAGATAGTGAGACTCAGTCTCAAAAATAATGATAATAATAAGAATAATAATGTCAAATGGAAATAAATGCTATGAAGACGACAGAGGTAGGAAATCTGGATGAGGAGGAGGAGGAGGAGCCAGCTTTGAGAAAATCTTGGGGAAGAGGGTCCCTAGAACAGTGAACAGTCAATACAAAGGCCCTGAGGTAGGAAAGATATGGACATTGTCAGAAGAACAGAAAGGATAATATGGCAAGGGAGCAAGTAGGGGTGTGGGAGAATGAGATAATGGAGTGGTCCCTGATTTCCTACAAAGTTCCATTTATTTATTTATTTTTGAGACAGAGTCTCACTATGTTGCCCTTGGTAGAGTGCTGTGGTGTCACAGCTCTCAGCAACCTCAAACTCTTGGGCTTAAGCGATTCTCTTGCCTCAACCTCCAAGTAGCTGGGACTACAGGTGCCTGCCACGACTCCCAGCTATTTTTTTGTTGCAGTTGTCATTGTTGTTTGGCAGGCCCAGGCTGGGTTTGAACCACCAGCCCCTGTGTATATGGCTGGTGCCCTGGCTACTGAGCTACAGGTGCCAAGCCTATTTATTTATTTATTTTGAGGTGGAGTCTCACTTTGTCACCTAGACTAGAGTACAGTGGTGCAACTACAGCTAACGTAACCTCAAATTCCTGGGCTCAAGCAATCCTCCTGTCAGCCTCCCCTGTAACTGGGACTACATGCACCACCATGCCCAGCTAATTTTTCTATTTTTAGTAGAGACAGAGTTTTTCTGTGTTGGTCAGGCTGGTCTCGAACTCCCGACCTCCAGAGATCCTCCTGCCTGGGTCTCCCATAGTGCTGGGATTACAGGTGTGAGCCACCATGCTCAGCCCACAAAGCAGCTTTTCAACACTTCAAGGGTTCCATCAGGCACACTCTGTACCCCAGGTGAGCTGGGTATGAGGAACATTGCAGCCCTTCCCACCCTTTGGAAAGGAATCTCTCCCCTGGTATGTTAAAAGACAATATTGCAACAAATTTTGTTTTAAGATCTCAGCTGGCTTTATTGTGATTCTAGAGTCCTGCATCACTTCATTCCATAAAGCAAATATTCCAATGAGCTGAGAAGAGATTGGCATTATAGACAAAAAAGAGGCTAAAGAAAGCAGAAGACAGGGAACGAAAAGCCAATGGGACATAAGGACTTACAGGTACTTTCCCCGTAAAGTCATAAGGATTAAAACAGAGGGAGCTTCATTATCGTGCCCACCAAAGATTGAAACTGCCCTGTTTGGGAAATTGGGCTGTGTTTCTCTTCTAATTTCCCTGGGCTCAGTTTCAGTTTGGTGACATGAAAAACCTCAGCGTGGGTAACTCCATTTTGATTTTTAGTCTATTCTGTTGGGGCCTAATGCAGGAGGGTAAGCCAAAACTACAGACTCCTATTATGTATAATTTTTATTAAATCACAGCAAGTGATTAACAAATGATAGCAATGACTGTCTTTGCTATTGTTCGTTAATCACTTACTGTGAACACTTTCTATCACAGAATCCTAATAGCTGCCTGAGAAGTTCCCACTATTACTATCCCCATTTTATAGATGGGAAAACTGAGGTTCAAGCAGGCAAAATGACTTGTCTAGGTCACACAACTAGGAAGAATGAGAACCAAATTTGAACACAGTTTGTCAGCACAATGGATGCTACCCATTGTTGTCACCAGGGGGGGTGCACTTCACAAATTCCTGTGTCCCACTCCAACCCTCCTATCCTGAGGGTCCTTGGCCAAGGTGATGTCATATCATTCTGTTTCAGTTTACTCATCATCAAAAGGGCTTATGTGACAGAGCTGCTAGGAAGGATTATGGCCCATAATCCTAGCACTCTGGGAGGAGGAGGCAGGAAGATTGCTTGAGCTCAGGAGTTCGAGTTCATTTTTTCCCTACTAAAAACACAGGGAAAAAATTGGTTGGGCATCGTGATGGGCCCCTGTAGTCCCAGCTACTTGGGAGGCTAGGGCAGGAGGATTATTGGAACCTAGGAGCCTGAGGTTGCTGTGAATTAGGCTGAGGCTGTGACACTCTAGCCTGGGTAATAGAATGACATTCTATCTCAAAAAACAAACAAACAACAACAACAACAAAAGACCCTGGCAAAGCCCCTGAAACTCAGTGGGACTCAGTCAATGTTACTTGCCAACACTGATGCCTTCTAAGCATACTGTATTTGTCCAAGGTGCTCACAGGGAATTCCAGGTGACACGTCTCATTGGTATTCGGTTCACATGCCCATTGTGGACTAGTAAGTCACCAACCAGAAGCAAGGGCAATTGGCACTGTCGTTAACCAGACACGATAGGGCAATTGTTAATGGCGTGAAACTTGTTTATAAAAATTGGATCATTTTTGTTATACCCAATTGCATCACTGTCAAGGGGCCAGGTGGGGAGGGAAAAGCACTTGGGGGAACATAGCACCTGCCCCAAGAATTGCATTTTCCACAGACCAGCTGCTGAAAATGCCTGTTGTAACCTGAAACCAGTTGTATCTAATAGTTACTGAGACATCTTGCTACAACTCTAAGAGTGGTTTTACCTCCACTGTCATTCACCTAGGAGGCTTCCAGCTTCCCTAAACCTTATTAGTGCCAGTGAATTTCATGTAAAAACAAAACATTTTGCCTTTTTTTGTTCTCTGGACATGCCAAAGACCATGCATCCTGTCTGTGCATATGCCAAAATTGCCCTTCTTGCCTCCCATGCAAAATGTTAAATTTAGATTTATCACTACATTTTTATTTTTACTTTGACAGGAACATGGAGTTGGAGATGCAGACAGGTTTGGGTTCAAATTCCAACTGCATCATTTGCTTGCTGTGTGACCTTAGGGAATATGACCTCACCTCTCTGAGCCTGGAAGAAATGGGAGCCTTTCCACACTGCCCCTTAATGCCACCACCTGAGTCTTCAGTTTGCTTATGATTGCAGGCAAAGTGCCCCTGGCCCTTGGGGTCTGTCCAAGGATCCCTCCTTACAGCCAGTTTTTGAGGTTCCCATTGTCCAAGGCCAATAGCTAGGCTGAAAATAAACACCCTGAACTCAGTCAGCACCAGATGCCCCAGTGCATGGCCTTAGACTCCAGGGGTGGAGTGGTGCAATTGTAGACTTGTAGTGGAGTGGTGCAATTGTAGCTTCTTGTAACCTCAATCTCCTGGGCTAAAGCCATCCTCCCACCTCCTCAGCCTTTCAAAGTGCTAGGGCTACAGGTGTGAGCCACTAGCCTTTCCTTCTGCTGGCGGTCCAGGAGTGGGGAAGGCAGGCACAGGGACTGGACCTGAGGGCCATAGGAATGTGAGTGTCTCCTTCCAGGCTACTCCTGCCTGCAGCCCCACTGCCATCATCTAGAAAAATTAGCAGGGCATGGTTGACACATACCTGTAGGCCTAACTACTTGGGAGGCTGAGGCAGGAGGATCACTTGAGGCCAGGAATCTCAGGTTGCAGGGAGTTATGATGATCCCATTACACTCTAACCTGGGTGACAGAGTGAGGATGATCAGAACATCCCACAGAAGGTTGGGCCAGGAAATGGGGGAGCAGGGGTGATATATCCCATCACTAACTCTCCACTCTTGCCCTATTTTGCCATATTCTTCTTTGGATTTTTTTAGACAAGGTCTCACTCTGTTGCACAAGCTAGAACTCCTGAGGTTCAAAGGATCCTCTTGCCTCAACCTCCTGAGTAGATAGGACTACAGGCTTAGGCCACCATGCCCAGCTAATTTTTTATAGAGAAGGGATGGGTGAGAGGGGAAGGTGGGGTCTTGCTATATTGCCCAGGTTGGCCTCGAACTCCTGGCCTCAAGGAATCCTTCCACCTTGGCCTCCCAAACTGCTATAGTTACAAGTGTGGGCCACTGTGCCTGACCCATATTCTTTTAAAATCAATGTTCCTAGAGGGAGGAATGCTGAACCCAATTGGGAACCTCACATAGAGGCCATTTCAGGCAAGACAGCCAGAATATTCGTGGGTAGAGAGGGGCCATCTGCACCTAGGTCTTCTCTACTACCTCTTCTCACCATTCATTACCAGAAGCTTGCCACTCAGCTTCCAAGCAAAAGTCATAGATGGGGGGAGTGAGGCGCTGCCCAAGAGCTTGTGCCTTTAAGGGAAGGGGCGGGGCGCCAGGTGGGGGCGCAGCAGGAGGGCGTGGCTTGGTCATGGGCGTGGCCGGGCAGGATGAGCGGGCAAAGAGTGCAGGACTACCCGGGGGTAAGATCCCAGACACTGCAACGGGCTGGGCGCCCGGGTTAGTGGCTGTGGGGGCGGAAGGTCGGGCGGCTCAGGCCGGCGTCCTGGGATTGGGAAGGCCGCGAAGCCCGGCTGAGTCGAGTTTCGGAGTTTGCGGGTTCCTGGCCCCGCCCGAGGTAAGCAGGAGCTTCCTCGCCTGTCAGAGTGCTGCCGGAAGACCTGGGCACCCCTGAGTCGAATTCCTCAAAATCCGTCCCAGTGGGAAACAGCACCGAGATGTTCTCGGAATCTGGTCCTTAGGAAGCTCAGCCCTGATTTCCTGTCCCTGCCCCTTATCGGATTTGCAGAACTTCCGAGCCCTTGGCACAACTACAGGCGTACAGAAGGCATTCAAAAACTGCTCACTAGTAAGTACGTGAAAGAATTTGGCGGCCAACAGAGACAAGACACATGCTCATCCCCATGTATTGGGGACATCAGGAACGCAAACATTTATTGAGCTCTTACTGTATGCCAGCCACCTCAGCTCTCATTTGTGTCCATTTTATAGATGAGGAATCAGAGGCTCAAAGAGGTGAAGTGACCGCCCCAAGGTCGTTCAGATAAGTGGCTGAAACTATAGGAAACTAGGAGTGTTCGGTTTCAAGTTGGTGCCAAGCAGGGAAACATCGACTCCTCTTGGAGTCATTCAGGAGAACCGCTGAAAGAGAAGAGCTGTGTCTTCCTGTGAACAGGTGAGAGGTTGAAATGTTTCTGGGACAGGCGCCTTCTGCCTCCTCCTGTCTTTCTCTCCTCCGCCTGTTGTCCTGTCTTACTCCTCCCCTCCCCACAGGCTGCCAGGACCTTGAGAAATGTCTGCACAAAGACAAAAACAACAACGTTGTTTTATGGGTTTTCGTTTTCCCCGTTGCAAAAATAAATAAATACTCATCGTAGCAATATGTAAAAAAGCCAAAAGAAGAAATTCAGTTTGCCAAGAACTTTTTTCCCCTTCAGTTTAATTTTGAAGCCATTTTTGCCCTGGTGTTAAGGGAAGAGACAGATGCTAGACACAAACCCAGCTCTGCTGCTAAGAGGCTGTGCGACTTGGAGCAATTCTCTTCCGTCTGAGCCGCCATTTCTTCATGGGAATAGCTGTTGACTTTGTGACCTCCTTGCTATGTGACCTAAGGCAGGTTACATAACTCCTCTGAGCCCCATTCCCTCCTCTGTATGGCAGGGACAATAAAATCTCCGGAATGGTTCTGAGGACTCAATTAGGGTGTCGTAGTGCAATGGTTGAGTGTGAGAAGACAGACCTGGGTTCACCTCATTGGGCCTCAGTTTGCTCATCCGGAAAATGGAAATAATAATAGTAGCTCCTCCCTCAGCATGTTGTGGGGATTAAATGAAGTCATCCGTGTCAAGTGGTTTGCTCCATGGTATATAAGACATAGATCAACTGTGTTATTAGGTTCCTTAAAATGTGACAGGCTGAACTCCCTGCCTCTGAAACTGGTGGCCCAGAAACCAGGTCTACCCCCAGAGGTATGTTTTCTTTGTTTCAAGAGGCCTTGCCCAGTCCTTACCACTGCCCACTTCCCATATTTATCTCAGGCTGGCCACAGAGGCAGGAGTCTCTGAACCCCATCCAAAGTCCCTAGACCCTTCCAGAATTGACATTCTGGTATCAGGGAGATACTTAGGAAGAAGGACATTAGATGTGTATAATGCTGAGTGAGCAGAGCCTGGGGTTCCTCCCACATGACTCTGTGCAGAATGTGGATTTCTACATCAGCTTTCCTATGCTGAGGGGAGGAGGGAGGGCAGTTCCTTAGCTGAAAATTTTTTCTGGCCCCTCTCACTGGGTCCAGAGGTCTTCAATGACATTATTCTCGCTTCTCATCTCCACCCTGCAGGACACTGGAGCCACCAGCCATTAGGAACTGAACTACCATAGTAGAGGAAGTGGACAGTGAGGCCCAGGCCTTGTGGGGGCTGATGGCCGGCAGATGGCTGCATCTGGACTGGGTGCAGAGTTTGCTCTGTGTGCTGCTGATGGTGGAGACAGTGTACGGAGCCAGGGGCCTGTCTACAGGGGCCCACCTTACCCCCCAGTTTCCAGCTGTAGGTGTGAACAAGACCCCCGTAAAAGATGTGAGTATCTACGAGGGAAGGTGGGGTTGGGTGGGGGTATATGCCTCCACTGGACAAATATTTATTGAGCATGTACTATGTGCCAGGCACTAACACTGGGAAATATAGACAAAAATCACTGCTCCCAAGGAGCCCCTTATCTCCTGGGCAGACAAAAAAGATAAAGAAGTAAACATAAATCTCAAGTGGTGGTGTTCTAAGTGCAAAAACATAGGTACAATGACTTGGGGGAAGATTGTGAACATTTCTTAACTGCTTCAGATGGGATGGTCACACAGCTTCTGTGAGGAAGTGTCTTTGAGCCAAGGCCCTGAATGGAGAGAGAAAGCCACCTATACAGATATGGGAGGGCTGCATTCTGGCCCAAAGGAACAGCAAGTACAAAGGCCCCAAGGCAGGAGCAAGCTTAGCATATTTCCCCTTAGTGTGGCCCACAGCAGCCAGAATGGCTGGAACAGGGGATGTGAGAGGAAGAATGTTAAGAGAGGAGGGTGGAGAGGTAGCAGTGGCCAGATTACAAAAGGCTCTATAGGCTGGGAGTAGGAGGTGAGAATAGTCTATGGGAAGCCAATGGAGGTTTTTAAGCAGAGGAATGTAGACAGCTGATCTCTCTGGCTGCTCTGGGAAGAATGGATTGAGAGGGGAGAGGATGGTGGCAGGAAGTACAATGTGGAGGTTCCATCAGGCACCCAGGTGTGTGATGGTGAGGGTGGGTGATGGGGAAGGAGTGGTGGGAGTTGAAGTAAATGTTGGAGGCATAGTGAGCAGGACAAACTGATGGCTTAGAGGGAAGAGTGTACTGGTGGGAGGAGGAAGGGAGTCACAGAAGGCCCTAGGTTTCTGGCCTGACTAGCTGAGGGTCTGGTGGTGAGTGACTTGAAGGGGAAACTTGTGGGGCAGAACAAAGAGCACGAGAGTCAGAGGCAAGGGGGCTTCCTCCTGGGCACAGGGAGCTTGCATCATTCTAGCAGATGTTTGTGAGGGGAGGAGAGGTCACAGCAGATCCAAAGTGGAAGAATGAAGGAAGGAGACTGCCCACGCTGACCCCCAGGAGCCTCTGCAGCTGCAGAAGGCTGCACTACTGCTGTGTATTCTTTTTGGCAGGGATTCCAACTCAGCCTGATGGGCTGAGGGTGTTTAGCATGCACACTGACTTTACCAGTCTGCAGAGTGCCTTCAAGTCCAGTCTCTGAGGCAGACAAGCAGGCAATTAAGCCCATTTTGCAGATGGGAAAGTAGTTTGTGGTTACTGTGATTATAAAATTAAATGCTGCCTCTTTGGGGGTATTCCTTGGGGGCAGGAAAACTGGGTGATCTGTGGCTTGTGCCAAATAATCTCTCCAGGTCATTGAGTACTTAGGCCAGCACTGTGCTAGGCTCACCAAATCCTCCCCCAGACCCTGGAGGGGGCTGTGATTATCTCTGCTATAGATGAGGACACCAAGGTTCAGGGGAAGTGAATGTGGCCATAGAGGAAGTGGCGAAGCTAAAATGTGAACTCATGGCAGCCTCATGCCGAAGTCCTTCCCCTCAACTCCACTGCCTCCTAGGCAGATGGGGGCAGCTGCCCTTCTAGAAGTTTCTCACCATCCAGGGAGCCTGCAGGCTGGGAAGGGCTTCCACCTCTTGCTTTAGCTCCTTTGTGAGTCATTCATTCACCAAGTGTTTATTGAGCACCTATTGTGTGTGGGGGTGGTGGTGGCAGGGACCAGATAGATAGTCCCTGCCTTCATGGAGCTCCCACTCTAGTGGGGGACATGGATGAGAAGCAACTCAACAAACCCACAGTATAATTTCACTTGGAAGAGAGGAAAACAGAAAACAGAACAGGGGGATAGTATGGAGAGATGAGGAAGGTGTAGCTGCTTTGCCTTGGGTAGCTTGGGAATTCCTTGACAGACACCCGAAGGACTTATGAAGATCAAGATTTAAGGGAGGAGAGTCTAGGCTGAGGGAACAGCAGATGCAAAGGCCCTGGGGCCGGAGAAGAATGGCAGATTGCGTAAGTAGAATATCGAGAACAGTGAGCAAGGAGGTAGGAGGGGGGATGAGGCAGGAGAGATAACAGGGGCCAGATCACTAAGGGCCCTGTGGGCCACTGTAGACTTGGGCTATCAGTAGGCGTAAAATAGGAATGTGGGGAGGAGTTAGAGCACAAGAGGGATATAATTTAAGCTTTGACAAGAATCCCACTGGCTGCCTTGGGAGAACCAGCTGTAGGGGCAGAGGCAAAGAGCAGGAGCTATCCTGGATAGCACAGCTATCCAGGTGACATGGTGGCAGTGGCCTTGGGAAGAGGTCTGGCTGGTGATTTTTTGTGAAACAGTAGGAATGGGAGCCACCCAGTGCCCAATGCTCTAAGCCAGGTGGGCCAAATGTGGCCTCAGTGGACTTGGGATAGGTCTAGCATCAGACCACCAGGGTCCAGGATATCAAGGGGACATTTTTGGGGAAAGAGGAAGAATCTAGAAAAAATTCCCTTCTTAAGACAGATACGGTGTAATATGGTGTAAGAGTGTAATATGGTCAAAAAAGGCTGGCCCTTTGGGGCTGCCTTAGAGGACTGAGGGGCCAAAACAGTAGGTACAGGGAGCTCGGTTTTCCCTTCCGGAAATAAAGGAGTAATTACAAGTTAATTTTCCTGAGCACTGACTATGGACCAGGCAGTCTTCTAAGTACATGAATTAACTTATGCAGTCCCTCATTTTAGGGTCAGTGTCACAACCCACAGGTCAAATTTAGGTCAATGCTGGCTTTTGAACAGCTCAGGAACTAAGAATGGTTTTTATATTTTTAAATGGTTGGGCCAAGGTAGGTGGATTCCTTGAGCTCACAAGTTTGAAACCAGCCTGAGCAAAAAGCGAGATCCCATCTCTACTAAAAATAGAAAAACTGAGGCAGGAGGATCACTTGAGCCCGAGTTGGAGGTTGCTATGAGCTATGATGCCATGGCACTCTACCCAGGGTGATAGCTTGAGACTCTGTCTCAAAATAAATACAGAAAGAAATGGTTGGGGAAGAAAATGAACATTATTTCATGACACATGAAAGTTAAATGAAATTCAGCTTTCAGCGTCCAAAAATACAGTTCTGTGGAGCACAGCCCATTCCCTTTTGGATCACGGGCCGTTGCCTTTTCACAGTACAATAGCAGTCGAGTGGCCCATGGAGGAAAATATATATTTGACCCTTTATAGAAAGAGTTTGCAGGCTCAGTGCCTGTAGCTCAGTGAGTAGGGTGCCAGCCACATACACCAAAGCTGGTGGGTTCAAGCCCGGCCCAGACCTCCTAAAAAGAACAATGACAACTGCAACCAAAAATAGCTGGGCATTATGGCAGGCACCTGTAGTCCCAGGTACTTGGAAGGCTTAGGCAAGAGAATCACTTAAGCCCAAGAATTTGAGGTTGCTGTGAGCTGTGATGCCATGGCACTCTACCAAGGGCAACATAGTGAGACTGTCTCAAAAACAAAAAAGAAGGAAGGAGGGAGGGAGGGAGGAAGCAAAGAAGGAAGGGAAGGAAGGAAGGAAGGAAGGAAAAAGTTTGCCGGCTCTGTGCCTGTAGCTCAGTGAGTAGGGCGCCGGCCACATACGCCAAGGCTGGGGTGTTTGAGTAAACAACAATGACAACTGCAACCAAAAATAGCTGGGCGTTGTGGCAGGCACCTGTAGTCCCAGCTACTCAGGAGGCTGAGGCAAGAAAATCAGTTAAGCCCAAGAGTTTGAGGTTGCTGTGAGCTGTGATGTTATAGCACTCTACAGAGGGTAACATAGTGACACTATCTCAAAAAAAAAGAAAACTTTTGCCAACCCCTGCCTCATTTCATAGAGGAGGAAACTAGAGCACAGAGAAGTTAAGTGACTTGTCCAAGGTCATACTGCCATAAGTAGGGAACCAGGATTTGAACGCTGTCAGTGTCCTCCCAGAGCCCTCAGCTTTTAACACTGCACCATCCAGCCTTGCTGAGCAGAAGCCACATTACTGAGATACCTGTGGGAAAATGCTGGTTAGTTTTCTGCTCCTGTGTTGGCATCCTGGTGGCAGACATGAGATTCTCCCTATTCTGTTCAGCACCTGAACGTTTGAAAACCTGTGCCCTTTGGTTCTGGCTGCAGGCCTGGGGAGATGAGGGGGTGTCCAGATCACATCTACAGCTTCTCTCTGGGGCCTGATTAAATGAAATTAAGAAGGTGAGCATTCTTTGAAGGTATTATAATGTCCCCGTTTCACTGACTTAAACCAGTGTATTATTCTCCTGTGCTGCTGTAACAAATTACTGTGAACTCAGTGACTTAAAACAACACTAGTTTGTCATCTTATAATTCTAGAGGTCAGAAGCCCAGTGAGTTACACTGGGCTAAAACTCAAGCTGTTGGTAGGGCCGCCTTCCTTCTAGAGACTCTGGGGGAGACTCCATTGCTTTCTTTGCCTTTTTTTTCTTCTAGAACTCACTTGCCTTTCTTGGTTTGCGGCCTTCTCTTCTGTTTTCAAAGCCAGCAGCATAGCATCTTCTAACACTTCTCTCTCTCTCCCCCTCTCTCTTTCTCTCTCTTTGTCATCCTACCTCCTTCCTTTTCTGATTGTCCTTCCCCCCTCTTATAAGGACCCTTGTGATGATATTAGACCCACCAGATAATCCACAATAACCTTCCCATCTCAGGATCCTCAGTTTAATCACACTGGCAAAGTTCCCTTTGCCCCATCAGGTAACATATCCACAGGCTTTGGGGATTAGGACATGGACATCTTTGGGGACCACTGTTCAGATGACCATAGCCAGCGAGGATGATCTGAACTATGACCCTACACTGCCTTTCCTGTCCTGACTGCATGTGCATGGGAAGGTGACTTTGGCTGCAAGTAATGACAGTCAGGGAGGGCATCTTGATTATAAAAGCCCAAGCCTTTCTTGCTGGGCACTAACTAACAAAATGAAAAAATTTTAAGTGCTCTATTGATGTCCTAGTTGTTCTATTATTTGGCTTCTTCACTGACTCAAGGTGGACTTCAGTAGTCTGTATTGAAGTACAGGAGAGGCGATGGAAGATATGTGACCTAAGGCAACAGTGACCAGAGCAGGTTTGATGAAGACCATGCTAAAAGTGAGGAAACCCAGGCCCGCAAACATCAAGGGGCTCGCTGAAGGCCTCACCAAGACCTGACACAAGCCTGGGTCTCAAACCCAGGACTCTAACTTCTCAGCTGTCCCTGCCTTCCACACCAGTCCTGCTGATGGTCCGGGGGCCAAATCAGGTGCACCAATTTGTCTGGCTGCTGTGGTTTCTTTTCTTTTTTTGCAGGGTGGAGGGCTTGTTTTTTGCTTTATTATGTGCATAGCCTCTCAGCAAGGCCTGCACCTGACAGTTCCCATAATTCTAAGCAGCCCTTGTGGTTTTAAACATTCATGTGACCTGCCAGGCCACCGAGGTATGGTGTTTGCAGCTCTTTCCTGTCCAGCCTCAGCTCCTCTCCAGGGTCCCTGGGACAGAGTTAGTAGGAAGGTGATCAGGAGGGGAATGGAAAGAGAGTGAAAAGTCACCCAGCCCAGACTCAGAGCAGCACCACCTTAATTTTGCCATGACTGGATAGAGAGCAGACCTGGGGGTTGGGATGTCTGCCTGGGGGCAAGATGTGGCAAGCTGAGGCCAGATTTGGAGGAGCTGCCCTGCTGAGTCACTCTGTTGCAGCAGAAGAACACAGGGAAAGGGGGCGGTGTCTCTGCTCAGTTGGGCAGGAGGTTGGGAAGAGGGACCTCTGCCTCCCTAGGAGTGTTACTGGTAATTTTTAGGCAGAGCCGAGTTTGACACCACCTAGCCATGGTTGGCTGTGTGCCCTTGGGCAAGTTACTTTTTCTTTCTGGGCCTCAGTTTTCTCATCTGTAGGGCGGAAATGACAATTGTGCCAACCTCCTAGTTCTCTTATAAAGACCGAGTGAGTGAGATGATGCTCAGAATGGTGTCTGACAAAACAGTAAGGAGGACCTACTATGTGCCTGACACTGTGTGAGACTTTGGTGGGAAGGTGTTAAACGATCCTATGATCCTGCTGACAACTGGGTAATTTTAAAACATGGTCAGTGCTTAGAAGAAGATGTAGGGTGATGAGCCCCTATGACAACTGGGAGGGGAGTCCAGCCTAGGCTGGGAGGAGTCAGGGAGGGCTGCCTGGGGGAAGCCTCTTGAGAACTAAAAATGAGAAGATGAATGTGGATTAACTGGAGGGAAAGGAGTGGTTATCAGAAGGAACAGCCCACGCAGAAGGCAGATGGCAGCTCGGAGGGTCTGGGCAATGCAGAATCTGAGAGCTGACCAGACCAGCTTGCCTGGAGAGTGACCCGGGCAGAGGACAGCAGGCACAATAAGGGGGCAAAGGAGGTGTCTCCAGCAGCCAGAGGAGGGGCATTTATAAAAGACCTCTTCTTGGAGGTGGGAGGCCAGATGGGCAGTTCTGTGGCTGTTGTCTGTGCCAGTGGAGGTGGAAGGAAGTGCTGAATTCAAGTATATAAGAGATAAAAACTTAAAACTTAAATGAAAATATTGCCACTGATATTCCCTGAGCACCTACTAGCTGCCAATTCTGTGTATCCATTTTCAGACGTCTGAATATCCATGCTCACAGAGCATGTGTATCCATTTTCCTTATCCACGGCATGTGGGTCTCATTGTCCCCATTGCTTGGAGGATAAAACTGAGGTTAATTTATTTGACCATGATCACTTGCCTAGGAGGACTAAAACTAGGATTTGAACCAGGCAGTTTGATTACAGAGCTCAGTGTAGGGGGCCGTTGTCTCTCCCAGTACTATTACTGTGATCATGTTCTCCCCAAAAGAGGAAGTGATGGTAAGCAGCCTGCCTGGTTCCCTGGACCCCCTTCCAGGGTCCTCCCTCCTTGGTGGGTGGAATCCTCGTCTATAAGCAAGCCCTGGGGTGACCTTATCTCCCTAGAAAATTCTTGGTCCCCAGCAGAGCCACAGGTCTGGGTTTAGGGCAAGGCTGAAATTCCCCCAACCCCAGTAAGGAAGGAGCCCAGCTTGACTTCTGTGTTTGAGTGGTAGCTGGGGGAAGCGGTAGGGCTGGGGAGGCATGAGGGAGTCTCAGAGCAGAAATCTGGGATGTGCACTTGCCCTTTCTTGGTGGGAACAGTTGCTGGAGTTTCCCAGGACTGAGTTAGGATGGACACACCAAACACTCCCGCCTCAGGTGCAAACTTTTTGATATAGTACAGTGGTATTACGTACGTTCACATTGTTGTGCAACCTTTACCGCCATCCATCTCCAGAACTCTTCATCTTGCAAAACTGAAACTCTGTCCCCTTTAAAAACTAATTCTGCATTCCTTCCTTCCCCCAGCCCCTGGCAGCCCCCATTCTACCATCTATCTCTGAATTTGAAGCTTCTTGGTACTTCATATAAGTAGAATCACAAGTACTTGTCTTTTTATAACTGGTTTATTTCATTTAGCATAAAGTCTTCAAAGTTCATCAGAGTTACAGCATGTGTCAGAATTTCCTTCCTTTTTAAGGCTGAATAATACTGCTTTGCGTGTGTATAGCACATTTTGCTTACCCATTCATCCATGATGGCACTTGGGTTGTTTCCAGACCGTTTTTGACTATTGCAAATAATGCTGCTGTGAGCATGGATATTCAGATGTCTTTTTGAGACCCTGTTTCAGTTCTTTGGGGTCTGTACCCAGGAGTAGAATTGTTGGATTATGTGATAATTCCATTTTTAATTTTGGGGGCAAGTGTCATACTGTTTTCCACAGGGTGGTACCATTTTATATTCCCACCAACAGTATACCAAGGTTCCAGTTTCTCCAAACCCTCATCAACATTTGTTATTTTTTGCCTGTTGGGAGTTTTGTTTGTTTTAGAGACAGTCTTGCACTGTCACCCATGCTGGAGTGCAATGGTATGATCATAGCTCACTGCAGTCTTGAACTCCTGGGCTCAAATGATCCTCCTGCCTTAGCCTCTTGAGTGGCTGGGACTATAGGTACCTGCCATGCCAGTCCCCTGCCCCCCGCCCCCAGCTATGTTTTGTTGGTTTGTTTGTTTTTTGTTTTTGAGACAGTTTCACTTTGTCACCCCCAGTAGAGTGCCTGGTGTCATAGCTCATAGCAACCTCTAACTTTTGGGCTCAAGCAATTCTCTTGCCTCAGGTTCCTAAGTAGCTGGGACTAGAGGCAGCTGCCACAACACCCAGGTTTTTTTTTTTTTTTTTAAGAGATGGGGTCTTGCTCTAGCTCAGGCTGTTCTCGAACTCATGAGCTCAGGCAATCTGGCCACCTTGGCCTCCCAAAGTGCTGGGATTACAGGTGTGAGCCACCGCGCCCAGCTGATGTTTTAAACTTTTCATAGAAACAGGGGTCTTGCTTTGTTGCCCAGGCTGGTATTCAACTCCTGGCCTCAAGTAAGGCCTCAACTCCTCTCACCTCAGCCTCCCAAAGTGTTGGGATTACAGGCATGAACTACCAAGCTGGCCTTCTTCTTCTCCAACTTTTGTTCAAAAGTTTTGTCAATATCAACTTACACCCTTTAGATGGCTACTATCAAAAACAAATGACAACAAAAAAATTAAAAAGCCAGACTAGGATAGCTTCTGAATAGTACTTTTCACTTCTAGAATTCTCTCTGGCAAAGTGTCCTCATGTGTTTTCAGAGAGTCATGTGGAAGGAAGTTTGTTTTTGATTACTTTGAAAAATTAGACACATCCAACACCCACCAGTTACATATCACCCACAGTAGGAAATACTCTGCTGCTATTGAAGACCTGCAGTGATAGCTGGGTGTTGTGGTGGGCACCTGTAGTCCCAGCTACTTGGGAGGCTGAGGCAAGAGAATCACATTAAGCCAGAGTTTGAGGTTGCTGTGAGCTGCGACTCCATGGCACTCTCCCGAGGGTGACATACTCTGTCTCAAAAATAATAATAATAATAAATAAATAAAGACCTGCAGTGGGGCTGGGGAGGGTGCTGGGACTCTAGAGCCTGGGACTGCCTGGGTTCCAACTCTGACTTTCCCACCAGGTGGACCCTGGGACATGTTCTCAGTCTCTGTATCTATACAATGGGCACAGTCATAGCAGCTTCCTCACAGGATTGATGTGCAGCATAATTGATATACATTTTAAGCTCCAAGCACTGTGCCTGCCATGTAGAAATCACTCAGTATGTTTCTATTTATATTATATGTGTTAATGCATATTTTATGTACTAATGTATGTTATTAATATATATGTGTATATATGTTAAGTAGTAAAAGCAAATTGTAGGAACAAGAGATTTAGGATGGACCCATTTCTGTGAGACAAAACCAACTGTATAATAAGGGCGTATGTACAAATGTAATTGAACTGAGAAATGTCTGTAAGGATATGCTTCAAACTAATTATGGTGGGACCACAGGGGAGAGGTGGGATTAGGGAAGGCAGAGATAGGAAGGGGGGATTTAGAAATCTTTATATATATATATATTTTTTTTAAACAAACATGTATTCATGAATTACTTGTGTCGAGTTCAAATACAAGTTTATTATTAAAAATAAAAGTACACAGGTAGCCCTGGGAAGAATGGGGGCCTTGGAGATCAGGCTGAAGGGAAGTGATGTTTAGCTGCTTAGATGGGCCTGGCCCAGACACCCTGATGTGTCTTCTCCTCCTTCCTGCAGTGTCGAGATGTGTGTAGCCTGAATGCCTCTGACCGCTGTGACTTCATCCGAACCAACCCTGACTGCTACAGTGGAGAGGGCTACCTGGACTACCTAGAAGGCATCTTCTGCCACTTCCCTCCCGCCCTCCTCCCTCTGGCTGTCACCCTCTATGTGAGGCCCTGTCCCAGGGGAGCTGGTGAGAGGGGCTGGTAGCCCAGGCTGGTTTTAACTCCTCCTTTTCTCCCTGGCTACCCCACCCAGGTTTTCTGGCTGTTTTACCTGTTTCTGATTCTGGGAGTCACCGCAGCAAAGTTGTGAGTTTGACCTTGGGCTTGTGTCCAGTCTGTATGTGGGAACACAGAGTACCAGGAGACTAACATTCGTGAGCCCAGGAAGGATGGGGCAGGGGGCCAGTCACTGTGGGGGTGCTTACCATCTGCTTTTCTCCGTAGTTTTTGTCCCAATTTGTCTGCCATATCTACCACCCTCAAGCTATCCCACAACGTGGCAGTATCCTTCTGTCCGGCGTCTGCACCCTATAGGGAGGGTGGGCAGTAAGGGAGGCTAGAAGCGGGGTGGTGGCTCCTGGCCCAGGAAAGGCTCCTATGTGCTGTGGCTGCTGCACTGACAAGTCCTTGACACATTGTCCCCATGGTGTCACCTTCCTGGCCTTTGGGAATGGCGCACCTGATATCTTCAGTGCCCTGGTGGCTTTCTCAGACCCACGCACAGCTGGCCTGGCCATTGGGGCACTATTTGGTGAGAGCAACCCTGGTTGGGGCGAGGTGGGTGGCAGGAGGGAGTGCAGGGGTGACTGAGCTCTGACGCCCTCTCCCTAGGTGCAGGTGTGCTAGTGACAACAGTGGTGGCTGGAGGCATTGCTGCCCTACACCCCTTCACGGCTGCTTCCAGGCCCTTCCTCAGGGACATCATTTTCTACATGGTGGCTGTGTTTCTGACCTTCACCATGCTCTTCCGTGGCAGGGTCACACTGCCATGGGCCCTGGGTAAGCAGCATGGTGTTAGAGTAGGGGCACCAGGGCTGATGGATGAGAGAAATGTGAACAGTGGCCCATAAGGAGTTTAATTTGATTCTAAATGACAGAATCCCTACTCAAGCCAGCTTGAGCAAAAAAGGGAACGTGTGGTTGTGGGGGATAGGGTGGGGGCAGGGGGTGGTATTCAAAAGTGTTACGATTTCCAGTTTTAAGAAGCAGTATAACTGGGTGTTAACTCAGGCCACCAGCAAACAGTCCATTCAGGTGGCTCTAGGGGTACAAATGAAGGGACAGTTGTACAGAGGGATAAGGAGACCAGTAAGGGTCACTGGGATGCTGAGATACCTAGGGATCTGCAATCATGGGAGCTGTCACCACCGCAGCCCCCAAAGTGGAAGGGGCTGAGGCAGAGGTGCCAGAGCCCAGGAAGGGCAGGAGGCCTGGTCACAGAGGAAGAACATCAGGGAGGCAGTGGGGAAGAGATACCCCAGCTCTCTCCTGCTGCTTCTGATTTCCTGCAGGGCTCCCATTACCTGCACCCAGTTGTACCCTGAGCTGGGTGACACCGCCATCTGCAAGGCTCAGGGCACTGAGTGGGATGCAGACCCTTAGCACTTGAATAAGGGCCCAGAGATCACACTGTGCACCTGGCTTCACTTTCTTTTCTTTTCTTTTTCTTTTTTTGAGACACAGTCTTGCTCTGTTGCTCTGGGTAGAGTGCCATAGTGTCATCATAGCTCACAGCAACCTCAAACACTTAGGCTCAAGTGATCCTCATGCCTCAGCTTGCTGAGTAGCTGGGACTACAGGCGCCCGCCACAATGCCTGGCTAATTTTTCTCTTTTTTGCAGTTTTGGCTGGGGCCAGGCTTGAACTCGCCACCCCTGGTATATGGGGCCGGTACCTTACTCCTTGAGCCACAGGTGCCGCCCCCTGGCTAATTTTTCTATTAAGGCTTTACTTTCTTGATTGCAAGAGAGATAGGCAGGAAGATGGGCCCTAGAAGAAGGAGGATCACAGGGTTCAAGGGGTGCTGTTCACCTGCTAGTACTAAGTGGCTGGGCCGACAAGAAAGCCGCCGCCAAAAAACAATAGAACCACCTAGCCTTGGTCTCTGGGCCTCCATCCAGGATGCCATGTGGTGATAGGCTGTGCCCTGTCTGCAGGTTACCTGGGCTTGTATGTGTTCTATGTGCTCACCGTGATTCTCTGCACCTGGATCTACCGATGGCAACGCAGAAGATCCCTGACCTTCTCCATGCCTGGAACTCCAGGTAAGGGTCTGCACGAGGGCCCCGAGAGAGTCCCCGTGAGTTGTACTCTGTGCCCTTTAGTCTACCATGTGGCTCCTGGAGCTGTTGCTACTGGCCCCACCGTACCCGTCTCCCATTCATGCTTTTCCATGGTCCTTCCTCCCTCCATGCTCTGCTATTGCACTTCTTGTCTCCTGTGTGTCAAGGTTACTGTTCCTCCCCTGTCCTGTTGGCAGGCCCATCTTCCTGAGAATTGGTACTGCCCACATGCCTCATATTTCCTGCAGCCATAAATCCAGACACGTTCATACACACAAATGCATGCACACACATAGACAAACACACAACACACGTGCATTCACACAAATACACAGCACTCGCACATACAAAACACATACATAGACAAATATTTGCACATATACAAAACTGTAACAAATGTACACAAATATGCACACACACATCTAAATACATGTACATACATGCACAAATACCACCCACATACACACATAGATATAGTCACTATGTACTTACTGTCTGTTAGGCACACGTATCGTTTTATCCATTCTTCTCAGTAATGCTTCTTTGAGGTAGGGTTTATTATTGTCCCCTTTTATGGATGAGGGAACAGACTCATGGAGATTAAATCCTCCCAAAGCTGGAGAGCTGGGGAGGGGCAGAGCCAGACCCCAGGCCACTCCTCTGTAGCGCCAAAGGTCACAATTGCTACAAACCATTCTGTTGTTAATTTGTTTATATGTCTGTCTATTAGACTGAGTTTCTGGATGGCAGGACTGTGTCTCATTTCCTTTCACATCCCCAGAGCCCTGACATAGAGTAGCTGCTAGTGACTCTTCCTCCAGGAAGGCTGCATGATTTTTCTCTCTTTCTCTTCTTTGTTAACCAAGCTTTCAGAGTTAGCACATGTCTCCCTATAGTATTTTCTGGACCCATCACAGCTAATTAGATTAGAATGAAAAGCGAGGCCTAGAGAAGGGCCGAAGACCATACAGAGGCAGAATTAGGGATTGAATTGACTCCTCAGTCAAGGAAGACATTTTCCTTTTAGGCTACCCTTTTTTTTTTGGAGACAAGTCTTACTATGTGCCTCAGTAGAGTGCTATGCTGTCACAGCTCACAGCAACCTTAAACTCTTGGGCTTAAGCAATTCTCTTGCCTCAGCTTCCCAAGTAGCTGGGACCACAGGCTCCTGCCACAATGCCTGGCTATTTTTTCTTTTTTTTTGGTTGTAGTTGTCATTGTTGTTTGGCAGGCCCAGGCTGGGTTCGAACCCACCACCTCCGGTGTATGTGGCTGGCTCCCTAGCTGCTGAGCTACAGGTGCTGAGCCTAGGCTACCCTTTTTTTTAAAAACAGGGTCTTGTTCTGTTGCCCCAGATAGAGTGTAGAGGTGTCATCATAGCTCACTGCAACCTCAAACTGCTGGGCTCAAGCAATCCTCCTATCTTAGCCTCTCAAGTAGGTAGGACTAGAGGCATCTGCCATCATGCCTGGCTAATTTTTCCATTTTTAGTAGAGAAGTGATCTCACAATTGTTCAAGCTGGTCTCAAACTCATGAGCTCAAGCGATCCTCCTGCCTCTGCCTCCCACAGTGCTAGAATTACAGGCCTGAGCCACCATGCCATTCTTTATGGGTCCCAGGCCTACAAGCATTCCTGAAGGCTCCTGAAAAGAATTCCAGACTGGGAGAGAACAATAATATGGGTTCCAAATCGTGACAAGTACACCAAAGTCATATGCTCGAGTTATGTCTCACATGCCCTTATTAGTACATTTAGCATTGTGGCTGCATCCTTACATTTGAAAATGTTTGGTGAGGTGGTGCCTATAGCTCAGTCAGTAGGGCACCAGCAGCTCAGTTGGTAGGGCACTAGCCACATACACTAAGGCTGATGGGTTCGAACCCACCTGGGCCTGCTAAATAACAATGACAACTACAGTCAAAAAAATAGCCAGGCGTTGTGGTGGACACCTGTAGTCCCAGCTACTTGGAAGGCTGAGGCGAGAGAATCGCTTAAGCCCAAGAGTTTGAGGTTGCTGTGAGCTGTGACATCACCGCACTCTACCCAGGGCCACATCTTGAGACTCTGTGTCAAAAAAAGAAAGAAAATGTTTGGTGAGTTAAACTTTCTCACTGTGTAAGAATTCCTGAGCATCCATGGAGATGACTGAGAAATCCAAATATAGAGGTCCTGGACACTTGCACCCCTAAAACTGCCCTATCCCAGAGGTAGCCTCCTCCAGAATGGCTCTGGGAGGGTTTGGACCCTCTAACTGGATTTTTTTCCCTTCAGAGATCCTCTCAGATTCTGAGGAGGATCAGGTGTCTTCTAATACCAACAGCTATGATTATGGTGAGTCCAGTGCCCTGTGCGCAGCCTGGTGACAGTGATGGGGGTACAGGGGTGCAGGGTGGAGAGATGGGCCCTCCCAACAAGGCCTCAACTGCAGGAGTGAGGCTCCAAACCAGCCCCACCTCTCACTGCACCTTAGCAGAGGTATGGGCCAGGTTTACCTACCCTTTGCCAGGCACTGGGTTTTCCCCCTTCCTAAGGGTTGGGAGGGCTGGTGGGACAGAGGAGAAAGGGCTTTTTAGAGACTGAATGAGACATAGACACGTTACAACTCGCTCTGCACAGGTGATGAGTACCGGCCGCTGTTGTCCTCCCAGGAGACCACGGCTCAGATCCTGGCCCGGGGGCTCAACCCCCTTGATCACAGGAGGTGGAGAAGCAAGTCTGTGTACTGGAGGGTCCTCAAGGTGTTCAAGGTAGGAGGTGGGCCTGGGCCAGGCCCATGGCTTCATGACAGTGGCCAGACAGTGGCCAGACAAGAGTGTGGGCCTGAGGTCTGCTGACACTGGCTCAGAATAAATGATTTGGGACTTGATGGGAAAGCTTGGCTGCTGGTTTGACCTGGGAGAGTGTCTGCCTGGGGATGGAGAGACAGGAGGAGGGGACCACTCCAGACAGAGATGAGGGCAGGCAGCTGGGGCTGGAGGGAGGGAGGGAGCTGAGAAAAACAAGATTGAGTTTTTCTGATCTCCCGCCACTTCCCTGGGAACGTCCCTTGAGTCTAGATCTGAGGGGGAGTGCCTGGGCTGGTTTCCATGACTGCTATGGCCACCTTCTACGACCCTCCTTCCACGACCCAAAAAGATTGGGAATCCGCCCTCACATCTAGAGATAATCCAATCTGTATATATTTTAGGTTATCTCAGCTCAAATAATGAACTATATCTGCACCCTACAGTGGCTTTGGATGAGTCATGACCTTAGGCAAGTCACTTAACTTCTCTGAGCCTCAGTTTCCCCTACTGTAAAATGGAGATGATGATACAGTACTTCCTCTCTGTCTGCAGTGCTTCTGTTAGTCAGTTATTACTGCAATAATGCTGCATAATAACCCCCACATCTCAGTGATTTACAATGATGATATCTTTTTTGTATTCACGGGTCTGTGGTTGTCTGGAGTGACTCTACTTCAAACTGTGGTCATTCATTCACGTCTGCCCCCTATCTAATTCTGGAGTCACTGGGGTACCCGGGGTGTGTTTTTTCCTTGGTGGAAGAGGACAAGGCCAACTACATAAGCACATTCAAAGCCTCTGTTCCAATCACATTCACCGACAACCCCTTGGCCAAGCCTGACATCAATGAGACAGAGAAGCATCATCTGACAAAGTATGTGTGTGTCAGAAGAGTTGGGAACATGACAATTTAATGGATGTTGGCTAAAAACCAAGATGTGGAGTCAGACAGAGCATGTACCCTTCTATGTGGCTTCAGACAAGTTCCTTAACCTCTCTGGGCCTCTGTCTTTGTATATTCAAGGGTTGGTTTCAGGATTAGCATATGAGGGGCTGTGGTTGGGTGAATGGTTGCACCCTCACCCAGCAAAGATATCCACATCTTAACCACCCCAAGCCTGTGAATTTGTTACCTTACATGGCAAAAGGGACTTTGCAGGTGACTAAGGGGAGCTAGAGAGAATATGTTGGATTGTCTAGTGGGCCCATTGTCATCACAGGGATCCTCACAGGGAAAGAGGGAGGCAGGAGCTTCAGAGTCAGAGAATGAGGTGCGAGGAAGGAGCGCAGGTTGCAATGATATGGGGTCAGGAGCCAAGGAATGCAGGTACTCCCTGGAAGCTGGATAAGGCAAGGAAACTAACTCTGCCCTAGAGCTTCCAGGAATGGCCCTGCTGACACCTTGACTTTAGACTTCTGCCCTCCAGAACTGAAAGAGTTCTATATGAAATCTATAAGTTCACGTTTGTTTGTTCTAGCAATGGTGGGAGACACACAGGTGCTTAGTCTGGAAATGGGCTCTGGTGACAGCAACCTTGGTCTTGACTCTCTGAGGTCTGTGAATGGGCAGCCGGGACTCAGGCCTTCCCACTCACACCCTCCCACCTTTGCCTACCTGACAGTTGCCTGTGGAGTTCCTGCTGCTCCTGACTGTCCCCGTCGTGGACCCGGACAGGGATGATCGGAACTGGAAACGGCCCCTCAACTGTCTGCATCTGGTCATCAGCCCCCTGGTACTGGTCCTGACCCTGCAGTCAGGGGCCTGTGAGTATCCCCCACCCCCAGACCAGCCCACCTTTCTCCTCCCTACATTCTGGAGTTTTCTTCTCAACTACACCAGGAGGGCTTGGGCTAGCAACAGAATCCTGGACATACAGCAGGCAGTTAACGTGTACTTGTGCCATATGGGACACGAGCCTGGAAGTCCATGCAGGAGACCTCCTGTAGTCAGTTGGTCCAGTCTGGACGGAAACTGCAGATGGGTGACTCTTGGGCCAAGTCCAGCCTTCTGGTTTTTTGCCTGCATTAAAAAATTTGGAGATTTTCCATCAACCTCCAGATTTTGGCTTTTCAAGATCTGGGCTATATTCCTGAAGGCAGTATTGACTGGAGCAGAGAAGGGCAGCCCCCCTGAGGTGCCTGTGGCCTGGATCATCATAGTCCCCTCTGTCGCCTGTTGGGGGACCCACATTGAGTTCTTGTAACTTGGCTGGTCCCCACTGGCATTTGAATATTCCCTATCTGCCCCAGAATGTCCGCTCTGGCTGAGGAAATGCCCAGGTTTGTCTGGCATCTTCTAACTCCTGCTGCCCAAGTTTCTTCATGTTGTCTAACTTTAGTATCTCATGCTGCCCATTCCTCTCTGTCAACCCAGGGGCATCGACTGGAGGTGGTGGTGGGACTGTGGTGGCAAATGTGTGGCTGGGTTTGGTGTCTTTTGCCACCACAGTGTTAGGATGAAATACCTGCTACATTCCCTGTGAGTTTTATCCTCACTTTATAGGAGGATGCTGGCACCAAGGGAATGGGACTAGGAGGAAGAGTGGTAGAGAGTGACCTGGAGTTGGGAAGAGCTGCCCCCCAGGGCTGTCCAATTCCTCACAGCCCTCCCATTGCCCATGGGTCTGGGAAGCCCGGCCTCTCAGGCTAAGGCAGGACTTGCTTTTGCAATCACTGTGGCTTCTTAAGAGAGTACCATATTTTGCTGTGTATAATGTGCCCTTTTTTGCCCACATTTTTGAAGGGAAAAATAAGGATGCGCATTACACATGGGCAGTACTGACTCCGCATCTACATATAAATGTTTTTAATTCTTTTATTAATGGTGATGCACTAAAGGTATAATTCTATGTTAAAAAATAAATGCTTAACTTTCTTTATATTACAAAAATCAAGTACCTAAATATGAACCAATAAAAATTTGAATTAAAAAGTTACAACACAGTCAGGCATGGTGGCTCATGCCTGTAAGTTTAGTACTATGGGAGGCCAACGAGGGTGGATCAATTGAGTTCAGGAGTTTAAGACCAGCTTGATCAAAGCAAGACCTGTCTACTAAAAATAGAAAAACTAAGGCAAGAGGATTGCTTGAGCCCAAGAGTTGGAGGTTGCTGTGACCTATTACACCACAGCACTCTTCCCAGGGCAACAGCTTGAGACTGTCTCAAAAAAAAAAAAAAAAAAATTAAAACACAAGATTTTTTTTTTCCTGAAAGTTTGGACCGAAAAGATGAGTGCTAATTATACACAGGAGTGCATTATATACATAGCAAAATACGGGCAGTTCCCAAGCGCATCTGCCATTCACAAACCAACTTCTTGATTTGTCCCCTTAGTCTATACTATTACATTTGGTGTTTTTATTTTATTTTATTTTATTTTTTCTTTTTTTTTTTTTTTGAGACGGAGCCTCAAGCTGTCACCCTAGGTAGAGTGCCATGGCATCACGCTCACAGCAACCTCCAACTCCTGGGCTCAAGCGAGTCTCCTGCCTCAGCCTCCCAAGTAGCTGGGACTACAGGCGCCCGCCACAGCGCCTGGCCATTTTTTGGTTGCAGCCATCATTGTTGTTTGGCGGGCCCGGGCTGGGGATTCGAACCTGCCACCTTAGGTGTATGTGGCTGGCGCCTTAGCCACTTGAGCCACAGGCGCCGAGCCATATTTTTTCTTTTTTAAGACAGAGTCTCACTCTGTGCCTTGGGTGGGTAGACTGCTGTGGCATCCTAGCTCACAGCAACCTCAAAGTCCTGGGCTCAAGCTATCCTCTTGCCACAGCTTCTTTTTTTTTTCTTGTGATTTAGAATTTGTTTCTTCTAGCAATGTATTATGTAAACACACTTATTGGAGTACAAGTAAATTGATTCATTATCTCACATCTTCTCCCAAACCCGGAGCAGAAAAAAAATAGGCCCATTCTTAACCTTAAAGGTATATTGACGATATTCTCCTAGTTCTCCGGTTCAAAGGTAGAGCTAAAGATCACAGTTTTTATTTTTAAAATTATTTTTGATGAGTTACTGGAATATATTTTTTTATGAAGTCATATGTACATAGATCATGAATACATTTATGCCTTTGTGGGATTCAGTGTGTTGATTATTTGTACAAATTAGAGTGCTTATATCCTACTAATTAACATACTTTCACCTCATTTACTTAATCACAGTATTAAGACATTTGTGTTCAATACTTGATAGGTTTGACATGTACCCTTGTAATATGCTCCATAGGTGTGGTCCCACCATTAACTCTCCCCTGCTGCAGCTTCTTGAATAGCTTTCTATTTTTATTTGTTTTTTGTGGTTTTTTTTTTTTTGCAGTTTTTGGCTGGGGCCAGGTTTGAACCCGCTACCTCCGGCATATGGGGCCAGTGCTCTACTCCTTTGAGCCACAGGCGCTGCCCCAGCTTTCTATTTTTAGTAGGGACAGGGTCTTGCTCTTGCTCAGCTGGTCTCAAACTCCTGAGCTCAGGCAATCCACCTGCCTCAGCCTCCCAGACTGCTGAGATTACAGACATGAACCACTGCACCCAGCCTTGTATTTTTCTTAAATCTGTTCCTTTTTTAAAGTAAGTTTATTGAAAAGGAAGCCTGTATCACCTGCATCATTTCTAATAAATTCAAGATAACTGCAAAAGTAAATACAATAAAAGTAAACCACTGTACCAGGTCTTCCTGAGTCAAGCCCTGAGCCGGAAGCCTGTACTCTCTAGTGAAACGGGGTCAGTGGGTGTTGCTGGTGTCAAAGTCCTGTTAGCACCAAATGAAAACTTTCTCCTTGTTACAGTGAGAGAACTGAAGGAATCCCTTTCCTGAGACATGATCCTGTGGTATTTACTGTCCTGACCACATGGCCCAAACACCATCTAGTGGTAGCAGGTGCCCCCAGGAAAAAGACCAGTTCTGACTAAAGTACTCGTGACCCCCCTTCTGGGCTGAGGACTATAGAGAGAGAACCTGCAGGCTCAGCTCCTGGCCCAAACACAACGTGCCATGACTCATGGAGAGTCTTCCTTCCAGAACTCATTGCCCATCTGTGGCCTCCACCCTCTCCAGGCTGTCCCAGAGCCATCTTTGTAAAGTACCATTTTTCACATGTTATGGTCACTCCTCTACCCTAAGACCTCCATGGCTCCTCAGTGCTTCTAGAAAAGTCACTTGAGGCTTCTGAGATTCTGAACCCACTACCTTGCCTAGCCTTTTCTCTACTTTTTTTTTTTTTTTTTTTGAGACAGAGTCTTATTACATCACCCTTGGTAGAGTGCTGTGGCATCACAGCTTGCAGCAACCTCAAACTCTGGGACTTAAGTGATTCTCTTGCCTCAACCTCCTGAGTAGCTAGGACTATAGGCACCTGCCACAATACCTGGCTATTTTTTTGTTGCAGTTGTTTAGTTGGCCTGGGCCGGGCCCTCGGTGTATGTGGCTGGCGCTTTTCTTGACACAGATTTTTCTGGCTCCTTCCCACCCTACTCTTCCCTCTTCCCACGGAGCCCTTGCACTCTGCTACTTAACCCTCAGAGGCCAGTTGCAGTGTGCCACACCTATAATCCCAGCACTTTGTAAGGGTGAGGCAGGAGAATCTCTGGAGACCAGGAGTTTAAGATGAGCCTGAGAAACATAGTGATACCCCTCCCCCCCCCCCCCCCCGTCTCTACAAAATAAAAAAAATGGCAGGGCGCAGTGGTACACGCCTATAATCCCAAGTAGGGAATGCTGAGGTGGGAGGATCACTCAAGCTCAGAAGTTCAAGGCTGGGCTCAAGTGGCTAAGGCGCCAGCCACATACACCTAAGATGGGGGGTTCGAATCCAGCCCGGGACCCCCAAACAACAATGATGGCTGCAACCAAAAAATAGCCCGGCATTGTGGCAGGCGCCTGTGGTCCCAGCTACTTGGGAGGCTGAAGCAGGAGACTGGCTTGAACCCAGGAGTTGGAGGTTGCTGTGAGCTGTGATGCCATGGCACTCTACCCAGGGAGACAGCTTGAGGCTCTGTCTCAAAAAAAAAACCGAAGTTCAAGGCTTTAATGAACAATGATCATGCCACTGCACTCTAGCCTGGGTGACAGAGTGAGATCCTATCTTTAAAAAAAACACAAACCATTTAGCTTATCTCCTCAGTGCCCCCCCATCCCCCAGCCATCTCCTAAAATTACTCTAGCATAGGCTTAACAAATATGAAAGGGCCTACTCCCCCAGGCATCCAGTTCTAAAGCCAGCACTATAGGTAAAAGTCATGTTTTCTTTTCCTCTTTTTTTGAGATAGAGTCTCAGTTTGTCACCCTCAGTAGAGTGCTGTAATGTCACAGCTCACAGCAGTCTCAACCTCAAGCTCAAATGATTCTCTTGCCTCAGCCTCCCAAGTAGCTGGGACTACAGGTGCAGGCCACAATGCCTGGCTATTTTTAGAGACAGGGTCTCGCTCTTGCTTAGGCCAGTCTCGAACTCATGAGCTCAAGCAATCCACTGGCCTCGGCCTCCCAGAGTGCTAGGATTATAGATACAAGCCACAGCACCAAGCCCAATGTTATTTTTTAAATTGCATTTTGTCAGATTGTCCCCTGAGAAGAACAAAAGGAAGGTCTTGATGGACATATCTGGCATTCAACAGTCATCATCTTTAAAGACCAGTATCAACTCTAGTAGTGAAAAGGGTGGTTTGTAGGGAATTCTAGGGTGTTCTTCCTGCCTATAGAGGTCTCCCCTTTAGTGTTTTAACATGAAGCCTCTGGGAACCTTCATGGTTTTGTTAATAATGGAAGAGTAAACTGATCAAAAGAGCAGGTGTTGGGCACCTGTCAGCATGTAAGGTTGGGTTTCACCACACAGCTCATCTCAGGGAGCAATGCATATACATTGGTAGTGCCTGGCTGCAGGCTGCTGGCTAGAAGCTCAGTTAGACTGAAGCATTGTGGTTGATTAGTGATGTCTGCCATAGAAGAGGGGAAAGGATAATGGTGGTGAGTAAGTCTTAGCCATTCCCATCCTAGTTCCATAACACAAGTTTAGAGAGAGTTTTTCATGTGTCTGTCTTTTCTCTCGAATATAACTAGCTTGAGGGCAGGGACTGCATTTTTAATTTTTCTGTCCTCTTGAAGCCTCTAGGACAGGGCTGGGAACATAGGAGGTGTTCACATTATATCCCAAACAGATAATTTATAAGTGAGTTTTTGTTTGCAGGTTTCCACTCCCAGGTCCCCTCAGTCATTCTGAGGGGCCTCTAGGAGGAGGTGCCAAGACGAAGCTGTGAAAGTACCAGCTTCCTTTTCTTATCCCACTGCAGATGGTGTCTACGAGATAGGTGGTCTCCTTCCCATCTGGGCTGTGGTGGTGATCGTGGGCACAGCCTTGGCTTCCGTGACCTTTTTTGCCACATCCAACAGCAGGCCACCCAAGTTTCACTGGGTGAGCATCCCAGGCTCTCCAAGCTTGGTCGGGGGGGTGCTGAGTTCTCCCAGGCAGACATCCTGTCTGCGCCTCTGGGGCAGTTTGACCAGTAATTACTTCCTATGATGACATGCTAACTGAACTTTGAAGCTACTTTTGAGGGGTTTTGTGTCTGTTTGTTCAGGGTTCTTTTGGGGTTGTTTTTTTTTTAGCAGTATATTTATTTTATGGAAATTAATTCATATACCATACAACTTGCCCATTTAAAGTATATAATTTAATGTTTCTTATTATATTCATAGAGTTGTACAACCATCACTACAGTCAATTTTAGAGCATTTCATCACCCCCACAAAGAAACCTCATGCCCTTTAGTAATCACTCCCCACCTCCCTCCCCGCCCCAGGCCCTGGCCACCTCTCCTCTACTCTCTGGCTCTATGGATTTACCTATAATGGAGATTTCATATAAATCGAATCATATAATACCTGATTGATTGTGACTGTGGCTTTCACTTAGCATGACGTTTTCAAGGTTCATCCAAGGTTGTGGCATGGTCAGTGCTTCCTTTTTGTGGCTGAAGAATATTACATGTGTGGATAGAACACATTGTGTTTAGCCAGTTATCTGGTGATGGACATTTGATTTATTTCCACTTTTTGGCTATTGTGAATCATGCTGCCAAAATTTGTACAAATTTTTTTTTTTGAGACAGAGTCTCACTTCGTCACCCTCAGTGGAGTGCTGTGGCATCCCAGCTCATAGCAACTTCAGACTATTGGACTCAAACAATTCTTTTGCCTCAGCCTCCCCAGTATCTGGGACTACTGGTGCCTGCCACAATGCCCAGCTATTTTTAGAGACAAGGTCTCGCTCTGGCTCAGGCTGGTCTCAAACCTGTTAGCTCAGGCAGTCTACCCACCTTGGCCTCCCAGAGTGCTAGGATTATAGGCATGTACATGTACCAGCCCCTCATGTACAAATTTTTGTGTAGGAATGTGCTTTCATTTCTCTTTGGTATTTTGCTAGGAGCAGAATTCTAGGTCAAATAGTAACTGTGTGTTAAGCTTTTTGAGTAACTTTTACCACACTAATGAGGAAGCATTAGGGTTTCTTTTCTTTTTTGAGACAGGGCTTCAAGCTATCCCTCCTGGGTAGAGTGCCATGGTCTCACAGCTCACAGCAACCTCCAACTCCTGGGCTCAAGCGAGTCTCCTGCCTCAGCCTCCCAAGTAGCTGAGATCACAGGCGCCCACCACAACACCTGGCTATTTTTTGGGTGCAGCCGTCATTGTTGTTTTGGCAGGCCCGGGCTGGATTTGAACCCACCGCCTTAGGTGTATGTGGCTGACACCTTAGCCACTTAAGCCACAGGCGCTGAGCCAGCATTTGGGTTTCTAATGATCACAGTCCAATGATGGAATAGTGTGGTCTTTCTGGGTGCCTTTTTCCTTTCTTTCTATAGTACTCTACGGAATTTTTGACAGTTTTCCCAGAGACTTCCTTTAAAAGTACTTAATTTTTTCATTTTTTAATAGTTATTGATATATATTTGTTTAATTTTTAGAAACTCTGAATGAATGTACCAACCCAAAGGAGGTCAAATTTTCACCAACTGATCATTTAGGGAAGTGGTCTTTTACTATTTAGGGAAAGTTTACTTTTTTTTTGAGACAGAAGTCTCACTCTGTTTCCCAGGTTTGAGTGCTTTGCGGTAGCTCACTGCAACGTCAAACTCCTGGGTTCAAGCGATTCTCCTGTCTCAGCCTCCTTAGTAGCCGGGACTACAGGTGCTTGCTCTTGCTCAGGTGGGTCTCCAATACTTGATCTCAAGCAGTGAGTACTCGGCCTCCCAGAGTACTATGATTACAGACATGAACCACCACGCCTAGCCAACTTTTACTATTTTTTAAAGTATAAATGTATGCTACAACATGGATGAACCTTGAAAACATCATGCTGAAAAAAGGCAGTAATAAAAGACCACATATTGTATAATTGCCTTTGTATGAAATGCCCATAAGGAACCAATCTGGAGACAGAGTAGAGAGGTTTCCAGGGCTAGTGGGGGAGAGGATGAAGTGGGAGTGACAAGGTCAATTTGGGGGATGATTGGCAGTAATTTGGTTCATAGATTAGAAATCCAATAAAAGTTATGATGGACCAACCATTCCTTTCTCAACAAAGTGATAATGTTGAACTAATGTTTTGTTGACACTTACTATATATGTAGGCACTAGTTGTATATGTAGTCACTACAAAAGTTTCTTTTATTTTTTTTTTTTTTTTTTATTTTTTTTGAGACGGAGCCTCAAGCTATCCCCCTGGGTAGAGTGCCATGGCATCACAGCTCATAGTAACCTCCAACTCCTGGGCTCAAGCGATTCTCCTGCCTCAGCCTCCCAAGTAGCTGGGACCACAGGCGCCCGCCACAACGCCCGGCCATTTTTTAGTTGCAGCCATCATTGTTGTTTGGCGGGCCCGGGCTGGGGATTCGAACCCGCCACCTTAGGTATATGTGGCTGGCGCCTTAGCCGCTTGAGCCACAGGCGCCAAGCCCACTACAAAAGTTTTGAGACAAACTGTTATGATCTATTATTTCACTCCCAAGAAACACAGTCACCATCATCCTTTCTGATTCATCCATGCAAATTTCAACTTGCTAGGCTTGTTGGTATTGCTGGGAGGGGCTTCATTTTTTCTGTGTGCATGGATTTTGTTTCTTGATTTTTATATATCTCAAAACTTCTGTAATGACCCACATATATTATAGAAATTTGTTTTATGCTCATAACAACTTTACAAGGTAGACACTGTTATCATCCTATTTTACAGGTGAAGAACTGAGGCTGTGTCCCTGTTAGGGGCTGGCCTTGGTCCCATCAAAATACCATTCCCTCCTCAGCTCTTTGCTTTCCTGGGCTTCCTGACCAGCGCCCTGTGGATCAATGCAGCTGCCACAGAGGTGGTGAATATCTTGCGGTCCCTGGGTGTGGTCTTCCGGCTGAGCAACACTGTCCTGGGGCTCACACTGCTGGCCTGGGGGAACAGCATTGGAGGTGACTCGGGGCAGGGTGGGGTTCTGGGGTGAGTGCAGCCATATCATAGTTCTTTGATTCCCCCAATCAGAGTTGCATCTGAGCCAAGGTGTCGGAGCCGGGGGGGCTGCCCTTAGCATGTGTTCAGTGCCCACTGTCATTTTGGAGTAAACACCATTTGGGCATTGGTGTGAGATGGCCTGGACTATAAATGGACCAGTAAACTCTGTAGAGGTCCTTGCCTCTTCTCCACTTTCTGATGTGGAGACACTAGGTGGCTCCCCAGAGTTCAGACAGGACATGGAGTCCATTGCAGTCAACTATGCTTTGATGTATACATGAGTATATGACTTATGCAGGCATTCCCACATACACATATACATACATGCATACATACATATTGCAGCCAGGTAAGGTTGGCCAGGTTTTACACTGCACAAGAGCATCTAGACAAGTAGGCAGGGCCAAAATCTAGCCCTCTTACTACTGTTCTTGGGTACTTTTATCTATGTGTGCTAGCAGCATATGGAACTTGGGTGAAAAATTGGTAGCAGCATGTCTTACCCACAAACTTGCTCTTGGTAGGAAAGAGTGGGGTAAAAGGAATTAAGGAGGGAATTGTGTCTTACAAGATGCTGTGGCCTCCCACAGCACCCAGTCGGCTAGCACCATGCACACCCCGGTGGGCATTCATCGATGTTGTTGCCTGAATGGATGTGGGTGAGAATGAAGGTGTGAAGGACCAAGGAGGGTCTGGGGCCAGGGGGAAGCTACTCATCACTTAGGGTCCCCTCTGGTTTCCACACAGATGTCTTCTCAGATTTCACACTGGCTCGCCAGGGATACCCACGGATGGCATTCTCTGCCTGTTTTGGTGGCATCATCTTCAGTATCCTTTGTGGGACCACCCTTGACCTCAGCCTGTGGAACTGGCTCTTGGTATGACACCTTGGACAGGTGTTGTGACTGTTTGAGCCTCAGGCTCCTCATCTGTAAAATGGGGATGCTCAGAGTACTAACTGCATAGGGTTGTTGTAAGGATCCAGTGAGGTGAATAAAACTCTTGGCACTCGGTAAGTGCTCAGGGGATGCAGCTATTATTGTTAGGGCAAGGGTGGTATCAGCAAATGCCCACACAGTGACCTTGGTCCACAGAGTGTGGCATGTGCACAAAACCCTCAGGCCATATAGCCAGCACGTGGTGGCACTACAGCTGGAAACTATGACCCTCTGGTTACGAAGCCCTTTCTTCATAGCCCCTCGCTGGCCGTACCTGTCCTTTCTGTTATAGACCAGGGGTGAGCAAACAACAGCCCTCTAGCCAAAGGTAAATGGTGGGGTGAGGGGAAGCACCCAAGACAGTGTCCTGCACATGGAGGACATTCAACAGCAGTGGACACTGTTGGCTGCTAAATAAAGTACTAATATCACAAAGCACCTGGAGTACAGCTCTCTTCACACTCCATGGCGACAGGGCCTTGGGTGAGCTACTGTGCAGGTGGCTACTTGGCAACACGATCTGATCAGTAGGGACCATCATGATGCCTGCCGCTTTAACTGTTGGGCTGAGCAGGTCCCTTGGTGTCCTTTCTATGCCCACCAAGACCTGTTCCTGGCTTTTGGGCTGTGGCCTCTCCTGACCTCTCAGGTTAGGTAGGAAGGAGGGAGCCTGAATGACCTCTCGAGATGGCCTTGACTCCTGCTGCACCACCTGTTAACTCACGGGACTGTGGGCAGTCACTTCCCCTCACCTGGCCTCAGTTTCTCCGTCTACTGAGATCTCACAAGGTGCTGAGTAAGTCTGGCATCTTACCCACTCCCTGCTGACTGCAGTGTGCACCCATCTTCTTAGAGACACCAAAACCAGATAGGGCATCTCAGGTAGGGATTTCGTCAGGGGGAGGAGGAGTTGGGCATAGATGGTAAAGAAAGCCAAGTACATTCTTACTGTGGCATCCCAAGCCCCCGGGTTGTACCAAGTAGGAGGGACAGGCTGTGTGGTTGGCTTATGGGCAGAATTGTTCCAGCAAAGCTTCCTGAGCTGGGCTGCAGATATCCTTGTGGGTGTGGGGCTGGGCTGCCTGCTGCAGATCACCCGGAGCCACATGGAGGTGAAGGTGAGTGGCCAGATGCTTCTGCAAGGGGCCTCAGCATAGGGCCACCCCCTCGACCTTCTCAGCCCTCTGGTAGTGGCAACCATCTATATCTCAGAAGGTTCTATTTCCTGGGGAGGAGGACCTTTGTGTTCATGACAAGTCTGACTTGTGCACTATTTTTGGAACTAGTTTGCATATTGAGTTGAAAAAATATGCATTTCTTGTAAGTTCACAGAGTAAGATGTAGCTTGGGAGAAAGAGGCAGGAAGGCCCAGGGTTTGGGTCCTGGGCTCATGCCTTAAGTCTTGCTATATGACTTCAACTGGCTTAGGACATCTCTGGGCCTCAGTTTCCTCCCTATGAAATGGGGCTGATGGCACCTCCCAAGCTTCCTGGAGAAGCATTCAGGGCCAGGCTGAATACCGTATCCCAATGCTGCCCACAGGGAGGGCTGGGATGAGGGAGATTAGAAATGCCACGTATTGAGGACCACCCCACAGCTGGGGAGCCCAGCAGATTTGGAGGTTTAAATGGCCGAGGTTTTCAAGCAGGCTTAAGAATTTCCTGAGTATAGGTGACCGACTTGTGTGCTCCAGGGAGATGGGGTCTGGGAATCTGCATTTTTAACACCCTCCCTGGGGCCCCTTCATACAAGGGCTCCATTTAAGAAACTATTCTGATTTTTTTTTTCTTTCTGGGCGACAGAGTCTCACTCTGTTGCCCTGAGTAGAGTGCCATGGGATCATCATAGCTCATAGCAACCTCAAACTTTTGGGCTTAAACGATCCTTTTGTCTCAGCCTTTCAAGTAGCTGGGACTACAGGCACCTGCCACAACGCCTGGCTAGTTTTTCTATTTTTAGTAGTGATAGGGTCACAGAGTCTCTCTTGCTAAGGCTGGTCTCAAACTTCTGAGCACAGGCAATCTACCCACCTTAGCCTCCCAGAGTGATAGGATTACAGGGTGAGCCATTGCACCCGGGCCAAGAAACTATTCTTAACAAGAGGGTTGAAAACTCAAACACTAGGGCTAGACAGTTACCAGAAATGTGTGGGTGATTCAGATGGGCCTCATGTGGCCAGATCTTCCAGGTTTCCCAGAGAAAAAGAAGTCAAGATTGCTAGGTGAAGTTTTTGTACTTTAAAATATCCCACAGGGCAAACAAAATCAATGCAAGGCAGGTTGGGGCCTCAGCCACAAGCTGGAAGTCCCTACCCCCACATCTCTATTCTGAAGGATTTAAATTCAGAGATCAAACAAGAAGCTTAAGGTGGGGGGTGGGGGTGCTTAGGGGCGGGTTTTAGGCCTCACTGTGTGAAAGCACCATGTTGTGAGGCTGCAAGATGGAGTCATTAATGGGGACAAAGTCACCCACCTCTTCCTAGAGAAGCCTCTAGTTCTTAAATAGCTGAAGCGTAGTAGCCATTCCATAAGCAAACAGCTACTTACGGCTTGAAAAGTTTGCTTTGCTGAAAGGTATATAGAAGGGGTCCTCAAACTTTTTAAACAGGGGGCCAGTTCACTGTCCCTCAGACTGTTGGAGGGCCGGACTGCGGGCCCTGGGATGAGTCAGCTGCTAAGCAGGACAGGCAGCGGTGGCAAAAATACCCAGCAGGCCAGATAAATGTCCTAGGCGGGCTGCATGTGACCCGCAGGCTGTAGTTTGAGGACATCTAGTATACCCTCTGCAAATTTTGTTTACATTCTTCATGGGTCTACCCCATACTAGTCATTATCAATTCCAGGGCATTTCCAAATGATGGGACTTTAGAGCGGCCTATTCTTTTCTCTTGCTCTGTGTGTTCCACTGGCTTTGTTCTGAGTTTAGGAAATACTCCTGCCATTAAATTGCATAAGACTCAAGACACAGCTACATGGAAGGATGTCTGTGTTGAACTGTTGGGTGAAAAACACAGGTCACGGTCCCATTTCTATTTTCAAAATGGATGTATTTATCTGTATGTATGTGTGTCCTTGCATGTGTATGCATGTCACCACGTCACCACAAGGGGAGGCAGGATAGGGTGTTAGTTTAGAGCCTGGGCTTAGAGATTTGTATTCATAAGGGACAATTGCTCATTTTCCTCCTCTGTGGATTGGGGATGAGAACCGTGCTCCCCTTACAGGTGGCTGGGAAGATGAGGACGCCTGGCATATAACAGTGCCTGCTGTGAAATCCGTAGTGGGTGTTGGATCAATGCAAAGTCTGGAAGGAAGGGAAATGGGAAGGGGACAATTTCACTCCCTTCTACTCTTCTGTAGTGCTTGAAAATTTTTCAACCACTGTACATAACAAATATATATAACATATTATATTAGTTTCCATGGGTTGTCATAACAAATCATCACAGACTGGATGGCTGAAAACAGAAATCTATTATCTCACAGTCCTGGAGGCCAAAAGTCTGAAATCAAGGTGTCAGCAGGGCTGTGCTCCCTCTCAAGGCTCTGGGGGAGGGTCCAAGCCTCTGGTGACTCTGGCATTCTTTGGCTATGGCTGCATCACTCCAGTTTGTGCCTCTGTCATCACACGGCTTTCTCTGTTTCTCTGTGTCTCTTGTTCTGATAAGGACACCAGTCATTGAATTTAGGAGCAGACTTAAGTCTAAGATGATCTTGTCTTGTGTCTGCAAAGACCCTATTTCAAGTCAGGTTACCTCCCAAGGTTCTGGAGGGACGCGAACTGGTGGGGACACTATTGGTCCCTAGAACCTGTAATCTGCCGACCCTCCCTCTCAGCTCCCCAGTTCTAGGGTCCTGGAATTGGTGTCAGCCGCTCTCCCTCCCCTGAGAAGCCGTCTTCTGACACCTGGGCTCTCGTTCATTCCTTCCCGCTGCCATTCCTTCATCACTGCATCTTTTTATTTTGTTACACACTCATTCCTTCCTTCATCTAGAACAGTGGTTCTCAACCTTCCTAATGCTGCGGCCCCTTAATACAGTTCCTGTGGGTCGCGACCCACGGGTTGAGAACTGCCGACTAGAAGAAGGTGTCAGGCCTCAGTTCCAGTGCAGTGCTGTTGAGCGCCTTGGAAAGTCAGTCCCTTGGAATCTTAGTTTCCTCATTTGTAAACTGGAGACCATGGCAGAACCCAGACACTACTACTGTTACAGTAGACAAGACAGTGCTTGGGAGGTCCTTCACACAATAACGCCACAGCACTCTACCAGGGCAATAGCTTGAGACTCTGTTGCCCCAGGCTAGAGTGTCACAGTGTCACACCTCACATCAACCTCACACTCCTGGGCTCAAGAGATCCTCCTGGCTCGGTGCCTATAGCTCAACCGGCTAAGGCGCCAGCCACGTACACCTAAGGTGGCGGGTTCGAATCCCCAGCCCGGACCCGCCAAAACAACAATGACGGCTGCAACCAAAAAATAGCCGGGCGTTGTGGTGGGCGCCTGTGGTCCCAGCTACTTGGGAGGCGGAGGCAGGAGACTCGCTTGAGCCCAGGAGTTGGAGGTTGCTGTGAGCTGTAATGCCACGGCACTCTGCCCGGGAGGACAGCTTGAGGCACTGTCTCAAAAAAAAAAAAAAAAAGAGATCCTCCTGCCTTAACCTCCTAAGTAACTGGGACTACAGGTGCCCGCCACAATGTCAGCTAGTTTTTCTGTATTTAGTAGAGATGGGGGTCTTGCTCTTGCTACAACTCCTGAGCTCAAGTGATCTCCCTGCCTTGGCCTCCCCGAGAGCTGGGAATACAGGCCTGAGCCTATTGGATACCAGTCCCAACAATACTATGGGTTCCCTCCCAGTGGCTTGATTGAACAAGAGGACTAAGGAAATGAAAAAATGAGAGACAAAGGCAAGCTTTAAGAGTTAAGCTGGGCCAAGAGGCTGCATGTCTTTCTTTGTAAGGTTCAACATACATGCAGCCTCTTGCCCCAGGCCAGCTCCATTTTTATTTCATACACCATTGTTTTAATCATAAATCTTAGGAGGAAAAGGCAAACAATTCCGATATGGTTCTTGCTATGCTTGCATTTCTCTAAACTATTTCTTTAACAACGTTAATTGGATGGATTTACTTTTTACTTTTATTGCTCTAAGGTATTTACGATCTTTAACACAGTATGGAATGGTGAGAGTGGGACATCAGAGAAAGCCAGCACACAAATCACAGAAGTGACAATTACTACTCTAGAAGCTTGTTGCTCAAACACACAGACACTTCTGGTCATAGCAAGGTGACAGAAGCAAAGAGGTATTTTATCACCATATCTGGTCTGGAGTAAATCTTGCCTTCTTTAACAAAGTTTAAACATTCTGGGCTCGGCACCTGTGGCTCAAGTAGCTAAGGCGCCAGCCACATACACCTAAGGTGGCAGGTTCGAATCCAGCCCAGCCCGCCAAACAACAATGATGGCTGCAACCAAAAAATAGCCAGGCATTGTGGTGGCTCCTAGCTACTTGGGAGGCTGAGGCAGGAGACTAGCTTGAGCCCAGGAGTTGGAGGTTGCTGTGAGCTGTGATGCCATGGCACTCTACCCAGGGGGACGGCTTGAGGTTCTCTCTCCAAAAAAAAAAAAATTCTGCATATCTAACTTTAGAAAAGCACTCCCTTTCTCAGAGCAAACAGCCCCACCCTTGTGGGTGAGTCTTGCCTGTTTAGAGACCTCCAAGGGCCACTATGGAGTCACACTGGGGGAGGAGTGAAATTCCAGCAAGCCACTTCTTAAGTTTTTTTTTTTTTTTTTTTTTGGAGACAAAGTCTCAAGCTGTCGCCCTTGGTGGAGTGCTGTGTTGTCACAGCTCATAGCAACTTCAAACTCTTGGGCTTAAGTGATTCTCTTGCCTCAGCCTCCCAAGCACCTGGGACTACAGGCGCCCAACATAACACGTGGCTATTTTTCTGTTGCAGTTGTCATTGTTGTTTTAGCTGGCCCAGGCTGGGTTCGAACCTGCCAGCCTCGGTGTATGTGGCCGGCGCCTTACCAACTGAGCTATGGGTTTCTTAAGTTTTTTTTTTCGGGGGTAGGGGGGCCTTTGTAAGTTTTAAAGGTGCCAGGCCTTCAGCAGCTGGGCTGCGGATTCTTCTGAATCCACTTCTCTCCTGTTTCTGTTTTTCCTTTGTCTAGACTCTACAATCATTTTCTTTTTTCAATTCCCACCTACATATGACTAATACTTGAATATTGGTTTTAAGCTTGTAAAATTACTTTTACCAGCAATTTACACAAGCACATGAAGATGTGGCTCTTCCCTTAAGCACTTCCATGAGCCACTGCGCCCAAACCCATCTTATGTTTTGATGGACTTCATAGTAGGTAGAGGACATCAGCATTATTTCTTGTTAACTACAGCTAACCTCCTTAACCTCATTAACTACTAACGACATACCTTGTTAACTAGAGTTCGGTGTTAAAAACCTACAGCATTGTCATTAGGTGAGACTTGAGCAGAGGAGGTCAGGCAGGTGCAATAGGCTGAAGCTGAAAGAGCAGTTTCTCTTTTCCTGCTGCTTCTGAGTCTGGAAACTTCTGGGGCCATATCTGGGTAACTGCCATCCACAGGAGGCCCTCAAATATTAACCTTGGGGCTTCAGGCAGGGTGGGGGGCAGTGACCACACTGACCCAGCCTCTCCCCTTGTTCCCCCACAGCTGGAGCCAGACGGGCTGCTGGTGTGGGTCCTGGCCAGCGCCCTGGGGCTCAGCCTCGTCTTTTCCCTGGTGTCTGTCCCGGTGCAATGCTTCCAGCTCAGCAAAGTCTACGGCTTCTGCCTGCTCCTTTTCTACTTGAACTTCCTCGTTGTGGCCCTGCTCACTGAATTCGGAGTGATTCACTTGAAAAGCATGTGACTGAAGCCATCTGGTGGTGGCATGTCACTGCAGGCAGATGCCCTCAGCCTCCTATGAGGGGATGACTGGGGACTGGAGCATCTTCTGCAGATTGCGGTGACCATGAGTGGCCCTGGACTTCCACGGGCGGCTCTCACTACTAGTCTGAAGTCACCACTGTGAGCAAAGGAACTGCTGGGTCCCTCAAGCTGCCAGCACCCCACAAGCCTTATCACTGGGACTTTGGAGACTGGGCTTTGTTCTGGACACAGGGCTCCAGACAGAAGCTGTACCAGGCCTTCTTGAGTTATCTCTAGAGTTGAGGACGGGGGTGTGGGGAAGGGGATGCTGGCTGCCTTCCAAGCCGTATTGGATGCCCCGGTGTGATCACGGGTGAAGGCATCCACAGGACGCAGGCTCTGCCTGGTCTCCCTCACTGGGTCTCATGCCTCCCAGCATCACCTCCTCAGGATGCAAACGGTTGCCTTACCCTGACTCAAAATGTCAGGGTGACAGGACCCCCAGGCCACCAAGAGCTGAGCTGTATGTAGAGCTGTGTCAACTGTCAGAAATAGAATTCAAGATGAGCTAATTTTCAATTTCTAGTTGTTATGTCAACAAAGCCAAAAGAAGCAGGTACAATTAACAGTAATGTTTTACTGAACTCACTGCTTCCAGAATACCCTCTCCGCCTGTGGCACTGCCATGCCACACATGCCACTGGCTCTAGACTCTCCCACTCTACCTTTGGCTGTGCAGACTCCTCTGTGCCCAGAGCCCTGGGGCTCCCCAGCTGCACACAGGAGTACATGCGTGCCCTGTGCCTACCTCAGGGGAGCCCCGGGTCAGGGGCTCCAGTGCCTGCAAGCTCCACGGGGACAGAGGGGTTCCCTGGTGCCTTTCTGCTGTCACGGTGATCCCACCTTTGAAATAAGCAACTTTTGTCTGCCCGATTGCCTTATGCAGGTAAAGAAAAGGATTCAATTTTCTTTTTTTCCAAATAAAAAATGTTTCAAGGACGTGGTGCATGTCCCACTCCTGTTCTCCTTTACCTGGAACCAGGGATGCAGGGTTAGGGGTGGGGCTGAGGCCAGGAGGCAGGGCTAGGGGTGGGGCTGAGGAGGGTCAGAAGGCCGTAGATGGGACCTTCCTCTCTCCATAACACCTGAAGTCATGCAAGTCAAGAGGCAGCAGCCACATTTACAAAGCAGAGGCTCTTTAATTAATACGCCAGAAATCCGGAGACACAGTGGGTTTTCTAGGTAACAAATTACCAATGTACAAAACCTTACAGCGTTGCTCCCATGATCCGTACAAAATGATTGTCTTTGTGGTGTGGAATAAGGCTGGGGCAGGGTCAGGGGAAGCAAGGCAGTGCCAGGCAGCATCCCCAAAGCACCTGCATGTTGCGATGGGGGCACAGTGGCATTGCCACCACTGCCAGGCTGTAACCCTGGCCGTCAGTGTCACTCACGTCGACTCAGCTGTGATGCAGAGGGTAAGGGGGCATCTGTGCATGGTTATGTCCCCATGCCCTCAGAGCTCACAGCCTGGAGTGACCCCTGTTTCCTACTTGGTGGGTAAGTTTGAGTGTCAACTTAGCAGGCTCCTAGGTGACCCCACAAGGATGGCTGTCCCTAGCCTCCATGACAAGGGTGCCCCCCACTAGCTAGAGCCTGGCTCATCGGCACTATTGCCTCTTGGATTCGTCCTGTCCTGGTCCAAACCATGCCCCATCTCAGGGCAGGGTTGGCACACAGACAAGTCACCATGAATAGAGCCACAACCCTACCCATCCTGCAACGGTGCTCACACGCGGGGGCCTCAACTCCCCTCGGCTAACACCAGTGGCTGCTGGCCCCTCCTGGCTTGTGGGCCCCTTGGCAGCAGAGAAAGGGACTAGCAGGAGGCTGACAGTGGGGCCAGAGGACTCACACCCACCTTTCAGAACTGTCCCATGACCCTTGCTTCCCACCGCCCATTTCAATACATAAAAGCTAAAAGGCACCCAGTTGTGCAAATGAAGTTCCTTCTTGGAGGGGAAGGGATTCTGGCCCAGGGCTCAATGCTGAGCTCCTGCAATGGCTGCTGGCCCTCCAGAGATGAAGAGGACAATGTCAGCCTCCTGATTCCACGGGGGACTCACAGTGGTTCTCTACGATTTGTTGTTTTCCCAAAGGGCTGTGCTTATAAACAGAAACATCTACTGCTTCTCCCCTGGCAAGGAGAACTGGGCCGCATTGGCTGTGGATCCAGCTTGGCCTTGGAGGTGATTAGGGAATGGAACCAGATGCTGCTCCCCTGGGGTCAGGCTCTGCCCTGCCTACTATGTGGCCAGGAAAAGAACAAGGCCTGTCTACCCACCTTCAGAAGCCACAAGAAGCAGTCCCTAGAAAGTTGGGGTTGGCCCAGTTTGTCCACTGGTGATGACTTCCCCTATCTCACTGACACAGAACCTGTGCTGTGCTTGGCTCTGTGGCTCAGGACAGCCAAACTACAGCTACCTCTGCCCTGACCCTGCTTTGGGAGCTATCACTCCCCACCATCATGGCCAGCAAACCCAACAGGTCTGCTCCAGACTTGAGCACCCATCCTTCCTTGACAGCATCCAGGGAGGTGCCAAGGGAATTTGGTTAAATGAGCATTCATCTGAACCAACCAGCCCAAGGTGAGGTGGGAATCAGACCAGGCTGGGCCATGGGGTTGCAGCCACATCCCACAGCCTCTCTGTGCTGTTTGCTCCTATTCCCAACAGCAACACCTCATGCATGTGTGTGAAGGACTTGCTATTGTCTTTAGCATAATCCATTTAACCAAAATATCCTTTTGCTTGAGCAGGTAAGTCAAAGGAAAAGGGATTTAGTCAAGAAAGCCTGTTCAGGAATTGATCTGGGTTGCAACCACTGCCTGACATCGTCCCACTGTGCCTGGTCCCCAAAGGAGGCCGCTGTAGCAGGACTTTCAGCAACAAGGGTTAAACCAAAGGAGTATGCAAGAGAAAGCTTACAGAGCCTGGAGGGAAACCTGTAAGAGGTTAGCATGGTCTCTTGCTGCCCAGCACTGGCTGAGCTCTGACCACACAGGTACAATCACACCCCTTGATTCCACCTTTCTCTTAGGTCCTGGGCACTGGCCCCAAAAGGAGCATTCTAGGACATTATGATATACATAGAAATACCACCCTGAGGGATTTGGGTTCTTTCCTTCCTAAGTGGTTTTGTCCCTAATGCAAGACGGAAACCTACAACATGGCTGTGGGGAGAGTTAGTGGGAAGCTGTCAGGTAGGCCAGGGCTGAGAGCAGCACAAGGTGACGGCTTTGGATCTGGCCAAGTAAGGCCTGGCCCAGGCTCAGGGCAAGCCCTGCAGAACACAGCAGAAATCTGTTCAACTGGTCTGCTTGTGAAGAGGGCTCCTAGAGCTTCCCACAGTAGGCAGAATTCAGACCTGGCGGCCTGACCCCCTCGCACCAAACTGGCTTTTAGAGTTAAAGACAAGAGGGCAAGGTGGCCACAAACCGAGCCCCATCTTGTCTGCTTTCTTCCTCTATGTGGATATGTGCATAATATGAGCATGTGTACACACACACACACATTAGTTCGATACATCGCAGTAAAATAATACTATTGTGTTATTGCATAGACGAGACGGCTTCCGGCACTGAGCTAGGTGATGGTCTGGGAGCGCTGGCGGAGGCCTGGGGGCTGCTGGGCGATGGGGACGCTGAGCCGCTGCTGTTCCTCCTGCTCCCTGGCGTGCTCCTCGTACCACTCCTAGAGCAGAGCAGGCAGGGGCTGAGGGCCACACCCCTCCAGCCAAACCCATGCTCCCCCCAGCCCAACAAGTCACCCAGCTGCCAGCCCCACCCAGCCAGGACTGAACTACCCCTCACCTGCCTGGACGTGCTGGGAATTCTCAATATGGCCCTAGCAGCAGAAGTCACAATGAAATCTCTCCTCAACTACGTAGAGGCTGATATGAGACCCAGGTAGCAACAATCCTCCTCCTTTGTTTGTAAACATGACCTTTTGTCATTCACCGAGGGATTCTCCTATGTCATCCCTTCTGAGCCTGGCAGGAATTTCATCCAGGTTTTATACTCAAGAAAACCAAGGCTGGGGGAGTTATATAAAGCCAAGTGCCTCTTCTAACTCCCAGGCTGCTTTTGCCACCCTCCAATAGGACTGTGAAGGCATTTTGGAAAAGTTAAAGAGCTTACCTGCCTAAGACCATTGTTGTTATATTACCTGGTATTTTCAGGGACTAGAGTATTCAGGAATTAAAAAGTACACATGTTTCTCCATATTTCGATTTTTTTTTAGAGACAGGGTCTCACTGTGTCTCAAGCTGTAGGGCAGTGGCACAATCACAGCTCACTGCAGCCTCAAACTCCTGGGCTCAAGTGAGCCTCCTGCCTTGCCTCCTAAGTAGGTGGGACTACAGGTGCCTGCCAAAATGCACTCCCTAGAGACTGAACCACACATCTTTAGAGCTTGAAGAATATATTAGAGATAGCCTAGTTGTGTCTCCTATAGTTTCACAAAGGGGAAAGCTGAGGGCTGGAGCAGATGGACAGGCAGGAGGCAGGGCAGGGCAGGGCAGGGCAGGGCAGCACACCTCTCTCCGAGCACACTGGAATGTGTGCTGTTATGTCATCCCAGCTGCTTTGTGGGAATGAACTGAGTGACTTGTCCCAGGTCACCGACCCAGAATGGACACAGAAGCTCTTATTTCCATGTCTCTGTGACACCAAATTCAGTGAGCCATGATACATCTGCCCCAAGGACCCTGGCTCTAGTGTCTTGTGTTTCCACAGAGCACATGTAAGCTACTTCAAGGAAATGGACTCTGGTTATCGCTGCTCCAGCGAAACCGAAGGGCTGTGAGAAAGCCAAAAAACAGCATGGCCACAGGAAACCCTCCCCAGAGCCCCAGGGACCCCAAGGAGAAAAGAAAGACCCAAAGCAAGAGCCATAAGCTGACAGTCTGTGGTCTGTAGGCTTTGTCTGGAAGGCCCAGCACCACCTCACATAGTTCTTTGCAAGGTATTTTCTTTTTCTTTCTTTCTTTTTTTTTTTTTTTGAGACAGAGTCTTACTTTGTCACCCTTGGTAGAGTGCCATGTTGTCATAGGTCACAGCAACCTCAAACTCTTGGGCTTAAGTTATTCTCTTGTCTCAGCCTCCCAAGTAGCTGGGACTAAATGATGCCTGGCTATTTTTTTTTTTTAAGAGACAGGGTCTTGCTCTGCCTCAAGCTGGTCTCGAACCTGTGAGCTCAAGCAATCCACCGGCCTCAACCCCCTGGACTGCTGGGATTATAGGCTTGAGCCACTGTGCCTAGACTACAAGGTATTTTCCTTAGTTGTCAATAAGGAAGGACTGGGTGATTATGAAAAACAAAAAAATCTGACTTTTGCTTCTTTTAAATTAAAACACAAAAAACCCCCAATCAATCAAAACAACCTGCATAACCTGAGTACAGCAGGGCCTTATTCCTACTGAGCAACCCTCTGCTGGGCCTCGACAGAGGCAGCCCTCTCTGCATATGCCCCTCCTTGCCAGTGTGGTATGGCCCTGTCCTCTTTTCCCATTATGTATCTTGCTGTGCACATTTGAGTTTGCAGCCCCAGTTCAGAGAAAGGAGGTTCTGGGCAATTCACAAGGGGCAGTGTCCTATATCGCTGGCCAGACAGGATAGCTGCCTGTCGGGGAATGAGTGAAAAGAAGGCCCCAGCCAGGATCCCAGATACCACTAGCAGTACTCCCAGTGGATGACTACAAATCTCCCTGCCCAGCCTTCTACCTCTAGTCAGAGGGCAGCCTCTGCTCAGGAAGGGTGAGACCCTATCCAGGACCGAAGCCAGGCAAAGGATGTGCCTATGAGGTAGGTAGTGCCTACCTGTATCTCCTCCTGGTACATCTTCAGGCTCAGGTCACTTTTGGTCCTTGATCGCCGTCCCAGAAACACCATGGAATTTTGCTAATGAAGAACAGAGGCGCAAGGCTCAGCTACAGGCAGTACAGGACCCCCATGGGAGCCCCAGCTGGCCTCTCCCACTACTACTCTGGTTTCTGCAATTGTGTCACTCAGAAGCGTCGCCAGCATTTGAGGGGAGGGATTAAACCATGCTCAAACCCACCCCTGTCATCTGATGAGGCCCATAGCTCCTTACCTGATATCTCTCCATCTGGGAGAGGGTCTCCAGCAACCGGGTGACATCACAGGAGGCACCCCGTGCCTCCCGGTAGAGCTCCAAGACTGCAACTAGCTCTTCTTTGGAGATTTCCTTCTCAAGGGTGATGCCACTGTCAACTGCAGGGAGGGATAGAAGGAGTGGGAAAGAGCCTGGGGGTTGGAGCTGCCAATGCAACTTGGTCTTGACTGACTATCGTCCCTGCTGCCTGCCCCTCTGCTTGGGTCCCAAGGTTCACTCTGTAACCAACTCAAGGTCCATGTGCCCTGCCCCCACCTCAGCCATTTGGAACTCCCCCCAAGTCCCTCCTATGCTCTCTTCATGAGTAGTACTGGTCTAGCCAGCACCTTTCAGGGACACGGGGTTTCAGAAGGGAATCTCCAAGCAAAAAGAAAATGGTCAGAGAGCCTGATAAGACAAGAGATTTGGAAACAAGTACAGTATTAATAGCAGTGGGCACTTCTGATGGAGAATTTGAGAAGGAGGATCAACATGCAGAAAGCTGTGCAGGCTGGGAAGAGTGAAGCAATTATTAAAGCCAGCAGTCAAGTTGTCATAAGAAATACTATTTGCCTCTCAGTAAATAATATTCATGCCATTTACATTATAATAAGGCTGGAAGCAGTGACTCGTACTTGTCATCCCAGCACTTTAGAGGCCATGGCAGAAGTGTGAGACTAGCCTAGGCCACATAGCAAGACCCCATCTTTACAAAAGATAATTAACCAGGTACGGTGGTGCATGCCTGCAGTCTCCACTACTGGGGGGAGACTGAGGCAGGAGGATCACTTGAGCTTAGGGGTTTGGGGTTGCATTGAGCTATGATTGTGCCACAGTACTTTAGCCTGGGTGACAGAGCAAGATCCCATCACAAAAAAAAAAAAAAAGAACCCAAGACCTACAGCATGAGCCTACTGTTGGGAAATGTGGAGATAACTAAAAGAAGAAACAGCTAGGCTTGAAAAGTCCTGGAGGGGAAGTAAGGAAAGGCAAGACATGGACAGGGCGGCTCTTTCCACAATGACCCTTTCCCTACTGTTTGATTTTTCTTCACCTATGAGATGTATCGTTTTCCTTTGAAAATTCAAGAGTGAGCATTTTTCTGACACTAAATATTTTTAAATCAGTGCAAACAAGAGATTTAGACAGACAAGCCAGACAGATAAGCTTGGACAACTAGACAGCTAAACTGCCAGACCCTAAGCTAGCCAAAAAGCTGACAGCCAGATAGCCAGCTGCACCGCCCAGCAGACAGACGGAGCCAGGCAGGCAGCAGAGAGCAAATGCCCAGGATGCAGTTCCCCGCACAGACCTTCTGAGTCCTGGTTCTTGCGGCTGTAGTTCATTCGGAAGACGAAGGCCTCAAGGATGAAGGCAACAATGATGGTCATCACCACCTGGCCAGGGACCGGGGGGAGGGGAATGTAGGTGGCTGCTGCTGCACACCCCAACAGGGCCTGGCTGGATGGGACCAGGCCCCTTTAGCAGGATGAGCCTGAGGAGTAGGGACAGCTGATGTTGGGGAAGATGGGGGATTAAGAGCATTCTGCCCCCAGCAACCTACCATGGTCACAATGTAAAATGTCATGAAGTACAGGCGGCTCCAGTGAGAGGTCTGAGAGGTGACACCTTCCTAGAGACCGAGGGGAGCAGCCAGTGAGGAAGCAGCCAGGCATCACCAGCGCCTTACAGATCCCTTCTGATTTGCCTCTGGGTATGAGAGGCAGAGAAGAGGGACCCCACTTCCCCCAGGCTAACAGTTCCTTTCTGCTGTGTGTGCCCAGGATGCTCTCCTGGGAGGCAGGATTCAGGACCAACAGGGGCAGTCTTTTTGTTTGTTTGTTTTGTTTTGTTTAAGACAGAGTCTTAAGCTATTGCCCTGGGTAGAGTGCCGTAGCATCATAGCTCACAGCAACCTCCCACTCGGGCTCAAGTGATCCTCTTGCCTTCATTTTTCTATTTTTAGTAGAGATGGGGTTGCGCTTTTTCTTAGGCTGGTCTCAAACTTATGAGCTCAAGCAATCCACCCACCTCAGCCTCCCAGAGTTCTAGGATTACAGGCGTGAGCCACTAAGCCTGGCCTACAGGTGCAGTCTTTACCCCAAGCAGTGACAGAATGAAAGAGTTTAAGATATGGGGAGAAAATAATCAACAATGCCCGGCTGGGCACAGTAGCTCATGCCTACAATCCTAGTACTCTGGGAAGGTAAGGTGGGAGGATTGCTTGGGGGCAGGAGCTTGAGACCAGTCTGTCTCTATAAAAAATTTAAATATTAGCTGGGCATTGTGGCAGGCCCAGCTCCTTGGGAGGCTGAGGTGGGAGGATCACTCGAGCCTAGGGTGCAGAGAGCTATGTCACTGCACCCATAGTCTGAGGGACAGAAGGAGACTTTATCTCAAAAATTAATAAACAAATAAAAATTTTTAAAAGTGCTTGCCATATTATTTTTTAATTGAAAAGTCATCTCCACAGTGGTAGGAGGTACTCCTGGCTGCTGGGGGGTGTGTGTGGAGCCAGCAGAGAAACCCAGTTCTGCCAGATGCTATGAGGGGGGCTTCTGGGGTCCAACCATAGCCTGCAGGTCTCCTTACAGAACACCAACCCAGCGCGACCTAAGACCCACACCCTACAGGCCATACAAAGGGCAACAGCCCATGCTGAGTGTGGAGAGACCCAGAGCTGCCCTCAGAGAGTAGTGGGAAAACACCCCTAGGAGTTGGCTGAGATCTTACCATGATGATGTACCAGTTGTTGACAACTGTAAGCTCAAACAAGGTCACTGCCAAAGGGAAGGGAAAGAAAGATGTCTGCATCAGACCTGCTTATTCGAAGTCAAATTTCAAGTAGCCCCTCTCCACCTATCCTGGAGTAGCCTATCCTTCAGCATCATGTACTAAAATGATGGCGCCACCACACATCAGCTTGGGCTGTGAGCTCCAGAGAAGATTAGCCACAGCCCTCCATGAGTCCATGCTGGCCTATTCCCAAGAGGGCACATGGTGTGCCCTTAGCTGTAGCAGCTCATGCAAGACCAGGGCCAGGGTAGAGGTCCATACTGGGTGCAGATCTGAGATGTCATGGGCGGGGGTGCCCCTTTCTCCGAAGAGGCCATGTTTGCCGGGACACTGTCCTCCACATCCTCACCCTAGGCTTTTTCTTGGAACCAGCCAGCAGGGGCCATACAGAGCACCGTGGCAACACTGGTAAGGCTGGGTCCCACCCTGCCAGTGCCACCACAGTGAGGTAGGTGGTACCCTCATAGTAGACTATACCCCTTCCAGCTAAGGCATGAAACTCTTCTCCTTTCTCAAACTGAAAACATATCAGGAAAAAGAGTAAAATCTAGTGGCTCAGTGAACCCTGGGATTTGGCCTGGACTCTACCCTTAGGGCTGGGCAGATGGGACCCACACCCTCCTTCTGAGCCAGTGAGGACAGCAGAAAGTGTGGCCTACAGCTCAGGAGGGAGAGAGTCTCAGACAGCTCTGCTTACCCACTCTGGGGCCTGGGGCAGCATGCCCTGGGAATGTTCCCCATGATTTCTCTACTCACCGAAGCTGTTCAGGATGTTGTCAAAGTTATTGAGATAGTAGTAACCTTCCTCCACAACAGTCCTATTGCCCACAGTATGATTGAGCCAGCGGTAGGCATCTGCCACTGTACTAGTGCTGACGGGGAACACAGGGAGGCAGAAGGGAAGGTCACAAGACAATCGGCCACCTCCACGAAGGACAAAAAGTTTAAGCAAACTTAGGTCCAAACAGCCCTGCCCCCAGCAGAGTTTCTTGCCAGGCCCTGTCCAGCTCCTGCCTGAGCTTCATGGGCTACACTCAGCTGCTATGCCTTGGGGGAACCCCAGGCTGCCCCCACCTGCCTGCACTAGGCAGTTCTCTGCTGCCGGCCAGGCCTTCTCTCTCACTGCTCCCTGCTGAGGAGGGAGGAGAGGCAAGAGCCTCCCTGCATGTGCCCAGCCTGGAATGTGCTCTGGAGGCTGGATACCAGATGCCAGGCACCAACCCCAAGGAAAGGAGAATTTCTTATCAGGGCCCCACAATACAATCAAGCACGTTTGATAGGTTGCTTCTCTCTGAAAGAGATCCCATCTACCATATCCCTTCCCATCTTTTATGGCTGGTCTATGAAAAACCATGCCGATGTTTCTGAAAGTCTGTTTGGGCCACCAGAGAGCCTGTTCAGAAGCAGAGTCCTGCATCTCATCCCTCAGCACAAAGGAGGAGCCAATAGAGGCCCAACTAGGGTGTGGCTCCTAGACCCCGCTGGGGATATGGAGAAACTGGCTCAGACGCCCTCTCTCCAGAGTTAACCCTGAGTCCAGGCTGTTCACATAGCTCACTGTGTTCAATGAAGCCGTGAAAAGCAAAGGAAAGCAGCCCCTAGAACAGTGTGTGCCTAAGGATCTTAAGGCTGAGAGGGGGCCCGTGCTGGCTCTGGTGCCCCCAGAAGTGTAGGCTGCTGGCAACGAGTCAGGGCTGGGCATCCCATTGCCTACTTACTTGCAGCAGTTGGGGTAGAGGATCCCATAGAAGAATTCCATGCCCGCGATGGCAAAGGAGTAGTAAAAGATGAGCAGGGTGAGGCCCAGGCTGGGAAGGGTCAGAAAGGACAGGGTGACGTGGGGCCTGCCAGGGAGATAGATGGCTCCTCTGCAGCCCCAGCCTCCTCGCACCCACTGAGCTGACATGGAGGCGTGCCCCTAGCGGGGGGTCACCGACTAGGAATGCCTGTGGGGAAGGGGCCTTATGGTCTGGGTCTGGGGTAAAATCGGCTCAGTTGAGGACTCTATTAACAGATGCCCCTTTACCAGAGATTCACCCCTTACCTGTGAAGGTAGACTCACAGGTGACCCCTTACCTGTGAATGTAGACACAGGCGGTAAGTGAGTTGACTGCTCCCTGCCCTCCCCACTAAATATTTCAGTTGGGTCAGTGGAGGAAAATGGTGCCAGGGAGACCTGTGGTATCAAAATTTCAGGCTTCCAGAAGGCCCATCGGCTCCTTGACTCCAGTCCTCCCTGGGACTCTTTCCCCAACTACCACTCAGCTCCTCTCCCCTGTGGGCACAGCCTCACAATGCCTGCACCTGAGGGCCAAGAGGCAGGGCAGTACCTGGCCATCCGCGGCAGCAGCTCAAACATGGTGTCCAGCACGTTACGGTAACGCTTTTTCAATTTAAACAGCCTGAGTAATGGAAGAACACCAGGTCATTTACAGAAGCAGGGGCACGGCCTCGGCCCCCTTCTGTCAGAATGTGCTGGAGCCTGCCTTTCATGGGGCCCTCTCCTTCACCTGAGGGTCTATTTCCCCCAAAGCTTGGCTCAGGTGGCTTGTGCATCTGGTAAGAGACAGGCACAGCCGTAGGATATCGGAGCCAGACCGGAAGAAGAGGTGTGGAGCCATGCTGTGTCTCCTCACAGCATATCGGGGGTAAGGATGTGGCAGCAACTTCCTACCATAGTTTACACTCAAAGCAGGAGGCAGAGAGCCAAACCTCACACCCAAGGAGAGAGGAGGGCCCATGCCCACCAAGGGGCAGGGAGTGGTGCTCACCAGTAAGAAAATATGGCAGTGAGTGGGAGGGAGACGGACACTCGGGCTGGCCCCAGGCCACCATGTACACCATGGCAGCAGGGTCATTCCCCAGACACTCTGCCAACCGGTGTCCCACCTCTCCCCTCTGCTACCAGGACAGAGAGGACAGAGCTTGGGTGCAGGTGTGACTACAGCTGGAGTTGAGAGGAAAACACAGTCTCTGAGGACACAGGCCTTGGGGCCCTTCCATGGGAAGAGGCATGTCAGTGGGGAAGGCTCTATCAGGATGTCCTACAGTGTCCCTGGGAAATTGGTGAGACCTGCGTGAGGGTTTTCAGGACAAGAGGCTAAGCAGAAAAGCATGAAGTCCCACTGAAAGGCCCCCTGACCTATAGAGCCTAAGCTCTGATTTATGGCTGAGCTCATGGGCTTCTGTGGCCACAGTAATGCCAGCTCAGGCAGAGTACACATGAGTCACAGGCTGGGTTTCTCTGCTCATCTGAGCCGCCTAGTGCCAGAGAGGGGAGGAGATGCCAGCAGCCTGCACACCCTCACAGGGTAGAAGTGACCCTCGTGGTGCTTCTGCGGGGGCATGACATCTGTGACACAAGCTGTGAGTCTTCTGGCTCCTTTCAGGTTACGGTCCCAGGGCCTTCTGTCCTCCCTTTGCCCCCTGCCCCAGCCCAACCTGCCCCGTCACCTTAGCAACTGGAGGGGACGCAGGACCACTATGAAATAGAAGGGCTCCATGTTGAGTGCCAGAGCCAGCAGTCCCAGGAAGGCAAACACTGTGACGGAGAAGTCGAACCTGAGAAACAGGAAAAATCAAGGTCCATTCAGCAGCCCTAAAGCCCCCATGACTACACCCCTCTCCTGGGCCTCAGTCCCCCCTCCAAGGAGCCCAGACACCAGCCAAAGCAAAGCCAACAGTAGCCAGCTAGCCTTGGGAGCAACTTCCTGATGCCCTGGGTTGCTGAGCTAAGTTTGCCAAACCTAGTCACAGGAGAACAAGAGGATCAGGACTCAGTGTTCTCAATACCCAGGACCCTCTCCCAGGGCCCCTGTACTGGTCTAATGACACAGAGGGCAGAAACCTTGGCCTCATCCTCAGCTCAGGAGACATCTGGCTACACAGTGGGAACTAGCCCAACCGCAGAAACTTTTTGATGTGAGTCCCACCAGAACAGCTACCTACCTCTAGTTGGAGGGCATACAGGTACTTTCCTCCAAATTCTTCTGTTTATTAATTTGTTTTACCCTCACGACCCAAGACCTCGTGAGTGTAGCCTGATATCATGGGTCAGTTAACTCTAATGGGGTGAGTAAAAGACCTCCTGAGTTCTGTGGCCCAGGGAGAAGGGCCACATGGGTCTCATCACAGTTCACCAAGGGAGGTGGTGGGACACTCTTCTCTATGGGTGCTGTGGGTTTTTATAGGGGAGATAAAAAGCCTAACAACTCAGGAAGAGCCACCTGACCTAAAGTACCTCAAGACACCATTCCCAGGACTAGTGTGAGTGGCCTGAAAGAGTTTAGGATAACAGCCTGACCCTGGGGAGTGCATGGGCCATGGGCAGAGCTGCTGTAGGAAGACAGAGGACTCAGCCTGTCCTCAGACTTTCCCTCTGCAGTTCCAGAAGCAGCCTGTGTACTGGGGGCATACAGGGAGAAGACGCATGGTGGCTGTCCCTAGAGGCTCAGCCATGGGAAGAAACGTGCTGTCCACTTACAGGTTCCACCCGGAGGACAGGTACTCCACAGGGCCTAAGCCAGCAACTTTCAGGAACAGCTCCACCCCATAGACTGCAGGAAAGAAGAGGAGGCTGGGAAACAGCTACACACATCTTCCCCACTGGCCTGGCTTCCCTCCAAGGCTGCCCTGTAGACTGCAGCCTCCCCACAGGCCATGTGCCCTCTGGGCTGTACCCCACACACCTTCCCCGTGAAAGCAACACTCGCTCCAGAGAGGGCCTGGTCCAGATGGTGGCCACCTGGGCAACTTGCTTAAGAACAGAAATCCTCTCCCCTCCCCAGCCTCTAGACATGCCACAGCCATCCACCTGCCCAACCAGCTGCCGTGTCCCGGCACCCTTCCCATCAAGTGTTATGCTGGGTGCCAGGCGTGCAGCAGTGAATAGGGCAGGGCAGGCCTGCACACACAAAGCTTATCATCCCCAGGCAGGAAAGACAAGTGAACAGGGGATGGCAACACAGTGTTCAAGGTGTTCAGACTTGACACGATGACAAGGAAAGTGAGGCAGAGGTGGGCATCCCCGAGAGTACCATGCACAGGCCTGGGGCAGGGGTTAAGGCAGTGGGAAGAGGGGTGCTGTTTGGAAGGCTAGAAGGTGGCAACAGGCTAAACAGGTGGGCTGCAGGGGCTATGCCCAGCAGGTAGGGTGGGTCACACCTGGGGGATATGGACTTGATCCCCAGACCAGTGGAAAACCATGAAAGAGTTTTAAACAAGGATGAGTTGGAATTAGACTAAATTTCTGCTCCATCTCTCTCTCTCTCTCTTTCTTTTTTTTTTTTTTTTGAGACAGAGTTTCACTATGTGGCCCTGGGTAGAGTGCTGTGGCATCACAGCTCACAGCAACCTCAAACTCTTGGGCTTAAGCAATTCTCTTGCCTCAGCCTCCCAAATAGCTGGGACTATACGCACTTGCCACAATGCCCAGCTATTTTTTTCGTTGCAGTTGTCGTTGTTTAGCAGGCCTGGGCTGGGCTCAAACCTGCCAGCCTCAGTGTATGTGGCCGGCACCATACTCACTGAGCTACAGGCGCCAAGCCTGCTCCATCTCTTAAGCTTCCTGTTTTACTGAAAAACCATGAATTTCTAAGCCAAATGCAAGTTCTCCTGGACAGTGTTTAAGACAAGCCACATCAGAAACTTACTAGTAAGAAAGACGAGGTAACTCCAGGGCACATGTTTGGAGAAGAAGTTCCCACCTGTAAGACAGAGCAGGAGCAGGTCCAGGGCAAGTCAGTGTGCTGACCAGGACCTGGCCAGTCCTCATGCTGGGGCTCACCTTTCAGCATAAACGTCTCCACGAGGATCCAGATCCCATTGACTGCCACCACCAAGTCTGAAATAGACAGGGCCATGAAAGACAGAAAAAGGAAAAAAAGAAAGAAAGACAGTGGTTAGGGTACCAGCCACATGCACTGGGGCTGGTGGGTTTGAACCTGCCCCATGCCTGCTACATGACAACAACAACAACAGCAAAGCCAGGCGTTGTGGCAGGCACCTATAGTCCCAGCTACTTAGGAAGCTGAAAATCGCTTAAGTCCAAGAGTTTGAGGTTGTTGTGAGCTGTGATGCCACAGCACTCTACTGAGGGCAACATAGTAAAACTGACTTAAAAAAAAAAAGAGAGACAGAAAAAGAACAGGTGGGCTTGGAAATTTATAGGTCATAGCTGTGGTCCCTGGTTAACTTCTGGGAAGCTCTGGGAGAGGGAGGAGAACAGGGCTGCTCCATGCACCCATTCAATAGAGAATTTCGGCTCGGTGCCTGTGGCTCAAGTGGCTAAGGCGCCAGCCACATGCACCTAAGGTGGCGGGTTCGAATCCAGCCCGGGCCCACCAAACAACAATGATGGCCGCAACCAAAAAAACTGCCAGGCGTTGTGGCGGGTGCCTGTGGTCCCAGCTGCTTGGGAGGCTGAGGCAGGACAGTTGCTTGAGCCCAGAAGTTGGAGGTTGCTGTGAGCTGTGATGCCACGACACTCTACCCAGGGAGACAGTTTGAGGCTCTGTCTCAAGAAAAAAAAAAAAAGAGAGAATTTCTTTCTACTAGGTGCTCTTTACCATAGGAGTTAAACTTCCCAGTGATTTTACTTAGAAACAGCTATGAATTTCTAAAAACATTCTCTACGTCACTGCAGGGATACCAGTTCCAAGTCAGTGTAAAAGATGAATAATACAGATGAGTTCGAGTATTGAAAACATTTGCTTGCCCTTAGAGAGATCTAATTCAAAAACTACATAGCTGGCTCGGCTTTGGTAGCTCAGTGGCAAGGGGGCCAGCCACATACACCAGAGCTGGCGAGTTCAAATCCAGCCCGGGCCTGCTCAACAACAATGACAACTGCAACAAAAAAATAGCTGGGCATGGTGGCACGCGCCTGTAGTCCCAGCTGCTTGGGAGGCTGAGGCAAGAGAATCACTTAGGCCCAAGAGTTTGAGGTTGCTATGAGCTATGATGTCATGGCACTCTACCCAGGGTGACAGCTTGAGACTCTATCTCAAAAATAAATAAATAAAAAATAAAAAAAACTACATAGCTGAGTGAGATGGCTCATGCCTGTAATTGCAGCATTTGGGAGGCTAAGATGGGAAGATTAATTGAGTTTATAAGTTTGAGACCAGCCTGTGCAACATGGCAAGACACTGTCTCTATAAAAAATAAATTAAATTAAAAATGACTGCATGAACTATTTAGCAAGATCGCTTATGCATTTAGCCTTTCAAAACCTAGCAATCCTACTTCTAAGGACCAATCCCAATGATACATTAGCAAAAAATCCAAAAGATGTATACTGAAAACTGTTCCCTGCAGCACTGTTTGTGAGGACAAAACACTGGGAACAACCTATGTGATCTGCAGCATGGAACTGGTTGAATACCGAGTTTCCCCGAAAATAAGACCTACTCAAAAAATAAGTCCCTAGCAGGATTTCTATGCATTTGTTAAATATAAGTCCTACCCCAATAACCAGACCTAGTGATGGGCATAGCTACGCAGCATATCTGCATAGCCACACCATGCATTTCAGTGTGGAGAGGAAGACATCCCCTGAAAATAAGCCCTAGTGTGTCTTCTTGAGAAAAAATAAATTTAAGACAGTGTCTTATTTTTGGGGAAACACAGTAGGCTATGATATAATCATAAGATGGCTTGCTTTCTTTCCTTCCTTCCCTTCCTTTCATTCCCTATCTTTCCTTCCCTCTTCCCCTCCTTCCTTCCTTTCTTTTTTATGGGTTAGAGACAGAAGTGGTGGCAACTTCTCCACCTTAAATGGCATCTTTCAACCATAAAACAGACCTCATTTCTCATCTCCAGGAGATACTGTTAACTGAGAAAAACCAAAGTGAGGGAAAAAGTGCATCAGGTGGCTCAGCGCCTGTGGCTCAAGTGGCTAAGGTGCCAGCCACATACACCTAAAGTGGCGGGTTCAAATCCAGCCCAGGCCCGCC